TTATTAGAATAATGATTTGTCTGCATAACTGCAATAATGATGTGTCTGCATAATTGCTAGAACAATGATGTAATGCATAATCACTGGGAACATTCACTGGGAAAGTTCTCTGTCAGTAATATGTGGCAACCTAATGCGCTCTGCACATGGATACTTTGTATGTAGCAAAACCTTCCATTCTATGCCTGTGAGAAACGCTTCTAATGTATCAGTGTGTATTTCAATGTGTAGCCCTTTGTTCCTGAAAGGAGGGTAGTATAAAAACTGAAGTCTAATCACGCCCTCTTTGTTCAGAATTGCCTATCTCTAATATGCTCTGGACCTTGCGCAATTAAACTTCTCTGTTAACCCCTCCGGAATTCATAAGAGTTCTTTCGTTTTCCACAAGATTACGAATTTGTATTTAGACACTGTCCCAAACCTATTACTTCAGGGAGATACATTTTCATATTAATGCAACTTAAAAACAATAACATGCAGTGGCCAGAAAACAATAATAAAAACTCAGTTCTTTAAGGCAATGTATTTTTAAGCACTTCTCATTTTCCTGAGCTTTAGAGGAAACATATGTTTGGGAAGGTAATAAAGTCCAGTGGTCTCTATTCCAAACTGTCTGCTTAGCTTTAACAATTTGGCAGCACTAAGTGTTCCAAGACAATGAGCAACAAGGCATACATCCACATACTTCCCCAGTTAATTTGAGGTGATGAGTATTCAAGAATATTTATACATATCTTGTTGGTCACTCTTGAAATAAAAATACATTTACTCACCAGTACTGACACTTCTACTATGTCTGGCAGTTGAAAATATTCAGGATCTACCGTGGGCCAAGGCTGCTGCAGTATATCTTTGTCCCAGTGATGATGAGTACAGAGTTTATTTGGAACATGTGACAATCCTGAAATGTAATATCAATAGATTACTTATATTAAGGAAAACATTTTTATATTTTGAAATAATAGAAAATACTTGTAGCTCGGGTTTTAGATTTTGGCAGTGATTTGCTTTCCAATTTAGTTTCTGAATATTTCGTTACCAGACTAGGTAACATCACCAGCAGGATTTTCTTGTCCTATTTTCCTTAGCTTATAACTGTCTTACATGCCAGGGTGATCAGTTGGCCATGTGATTGGTTGTTCGTTTGGAGATATATTTAAATTCTGAGCAGTTGATTGATTCTCTTGTTGACTGATAGTTCAAATGGTCTGGTTTTGAACTACCAATCAACAAGAGAGCCAATCAGCTGCTCAGAATTTAAATATAGCTCCAAACGAACAACAATCATATGACCAACTTACCAGTCTGGCAATTTATAAGCTAAGGAAAATAGGACAAGAAAATCCTGCTGGTGATGTTACCTAATCTGGTAACAAAACATTCAGAAACTAAATTGAAACAAGCTTGGAGAACAAAGCACTACCAAAACATTTTTATAGATTGTTTAATTAAGTTTTACAGATGCTAGAGTGAAAATGCTGGTAGCTTGTTTTATACTGATGAGCTAATAACCCAAAAACTGAACATTCAAAGAATCTGAGATTACATCGAAAGAGTGGGAGGTGAAAAAATATATAATCATTTTACTATTAGAAAATCATGCATTTAGCTGAAAAGAAGGTTGATGGCTCTGTGTTTTAAAAACAAAAAAGGATTATAAAACATAACCACTAGATTTGATCCTAGAATTTAATAAAATATGCATTCCTAAATTTACTTTCTCAGAGATATGGGATTAATTACATGGCATAAAAAGAGACAAACTGCTATTTGGGGCTCTCAAAGAAAGAGTGAGACCAAAAATGTGGACCTTTTTTGCTTTTTAAAACAAGTTTTGGAATACTTAACTGATTAAAAAATGATCGTCTTAAACTTTGCAGAAGCTTATGATATGCATAGCACTTAAAGAACTCAAAATCAGGCTTCCAGTTTTGTGCAGTAGTGCAGCAGCCGAGGGATCATGGGGCTCCGCACTCTATGGCTGATTTTTGTTTCTGTTTGGGGATCATAAATGGGCCTAAACTTGCCCCAGAGGGGCAACAAAGACGGAGGGGTGCCCTGCCAACTGTGGAGAGACTGCAGTTGATCCAGTCATACAGGGAAAGCCCTCCAGAAACCAGCAGAAGAAAGGCTAGGTTAACTCCAGAGTCTAGCCCAAGCTACAAGCATCCGAAGCCCAAAAGCACTATTTTAAGCTGACTGTAAACAACGTGATTGGAACTGGGTAAGAACTTCGATTTTCTCTCTTCTTGGAGAAAAAAACCCCCAAGAAGCAAAAAGCCTCCGAAAGTGAGAAGGAGGGGGATTTTTGCCCCACCCTCCTACAGATGGAAGCGGCGAATTAACGTTTTATGGGGGACAGAAATATATTGAAATGAAATGAATATAAGACCTAAACCTGGACAAGTTTGAAATTGGTGGAATTTGTTAAGATTTTCTTTTTAAATCATGAAAACAGAAGAAAGCTATTGTTTATTTTGAAAACTGAAAAATGAACTGGTGCTGACATCTAGTGGTGGATGAAAATATACAACAGTAGTTGCTCCAATATAGGAACTGGCAAAGTCCAGGAAAAGATAACTTGGTTTGGTGACCTTCAATGTCTTAATAACAGAGAACAGCTGTGACAAAAAAGAAAACATTTTGGGCTACCTACAAAGCAAGAATGATAAACCTTAGAAAAAATATTGACCTTTCTGCATTATAAATACATATTCTAAAGCTGTTTGCAGAGAAAGGAAAATCCTGATTTTTGGCTATCATGGAAAATCAGAGATCTGCAGAAAGAATATACCAAGAAAAAACAAATACTTTCCAGGAGAAAATGTATGCTATGTTGCAACTAATTCAAACAACACCGATCTCAAACCACGAAGAAATTAAAAATAACTTTGAAAATATAAATGAATACATCTCCAATTTATCTTTACAACAAAAAACCTCTCAAAAAATAAAAATAGAGAGCAAGCAGATAAAACAGACAATTGAATATAAACCGAGGAGAGAGATTTAAAAATGGAACCTAACAATAGAAGGAAGTATGACTTAACCTAGGTGGAAAAAAACTTGTAGGAAATATTGGATATGGAAAAGATAACTTATACTCTAAGACCACAAAATAAGTCTGAGGACAAGAAAAAAAATTCGACAAAATGGATTACAGAGCTGTCAGGAGAACTACGAGAACTTTACAGACAAAAAATGATAAAAGAAATTAAGAGAGAAAGAAAGGAAAAGATTTTTAATGAATACAAAGGGGCGAAACCTTCCCATAAAAATATCTTAATTGATTTGCCTTTTATACTTACAACAACATCTACAAGACTATGGGAAGACCTTCAGGTCCAGCGGAGCATATTGATCAGGAAAGATGTTTGGCAAAAAAAAAAAAAGGCTAAAATGAGAATTAAGAAATTAAATGATGGGGCTGATCAGAGGGAATATTTAAAAATTAAACATCTGTTTGAATATGGTTAAAGAAATAGAAAGATTTTGGATATAAATGAATTTTACTTTAAGAGGGATGAGCCCCTCAAGTAACATAGTATTTTTCTTTCTTTTTTCCTTTGTTTTTTGATATGAGAAATATAAAAATGTTGGGATGGTTTACATAAAGGAAATGCCTTAGGTCACGGGTCGGCAACCTGTCGCTCTGGAGCTGCATGTGGCTCTTTCAGCCTTCTCCTGTGGCTCCTAGTCCTCCTCCGCCATTTGCAGAGAGAGAGAGAGAGAGAGAGAGAGACAGAGAGAGGCACTTGCGCTTCCCTTCTCTCTCTCTCTCTCTCTCTCCGATCTTCTGCTCACCTGGCCAGCTGGCCTCACGCTGTTCTCTGACAAGCTGACAAGCTTATTGGGTGGGCTCCCTGCCCTTGCTGCATCTCTGCAGGAAGCAGCAGAGAGCAGCAGCTCTCTCTCTCTCACACACACACACTTTTACTTACTTAGTGGGGGAAGAGGACTGGCAGACCAAGGGCAGGAGAGGGCCAGCCCAATAACAATGTGTGTCAGTTTGTCGGAGAACAGTGAGGCCAGCTGGCCAGGTGAGCAGAAGATCAGAGAGAGGGAGAGAGAGGAAAGAGAGGAGAGAGAGAGAGAAAAAAAAAAAGAGGGAGAGAAAAGAGGAAAGAGAGAGAGGAAAGAGAGAGGGAGGAAAGAGAGAGAGAGAGGGAGAGAATATGAATATATGTTGTCCTTACTGGACTTTTAGTAAAGCATGTTTAATGAAATATTTTGATTTTTTTTAAAATTAAGAGATGAGGTATGGGGATAATTATGCTGTATTTAAAGATGGTAGATAAGCTACTAAAATTGTTTTCACCTGTTGGGATGAAGGAGAAAGGGGTTTTTTTGCCCTCTTTCTCCGGCATAAAAATTTGTTTTCTTTGTAGCAGTTCATTGATTTCATAAATGCAACACACTATAGTTTTTTTATACATAGCATAAAGATAAAAAAGGATATATGCAGTGTTATCTTCATTTTAGATGTCAAAAGGGTTTTGTAGCTCCCAATGTTTTATTTTCTGTGAGAAACGGGTTCAAGTGGCTCTTTGAGTGTTTAAGGTTGCCGACCCCTGCCTTAGGTACTTAAGTGTAATTGATCTTGAGAAAACTTCAATGGATAAAAATGTTTTGAACAGATCTAAAAGATTAGATAATTGGATTTATTAAATGGAACATTTAAAGATTAAATATAAGTTTGAATATGATTAAAAAGAAAAGAAAAATGTTGGATATAAATGTACATTAGCCTAAGAGAAACATGTATTTTAAGTAGTATACTATCTTCTTATTTCTTTTTCTTCTCTTTGTTGTTGTTGTTGTTGTTATTTTAAAGAAGTGATAAAGGTAAAAGTGTTGGGATGGCCTGTATGAGGAAAAAGACTTAAATACTTAAGTGTAATTAACTTTGAGAAAATCTTAACCAGTAAGAATGTTCTGAACATTGCGCGAAAAACAAACTTAAACAAGAATTTTGTAAACAGGATCTATGACGAGGGATGATCAGTTAAAAAAGAAGCTTTATAATAATGTGGTTGTTATTTGCAGAAATATTAGAAAAATGTATATATTTAATTGTTATTTATCAAAATAATAAGAATTGTATTAATTCAAGGTTGGCAAAAGAGAATATTATTGCAAGAAGAGAAAATCAAGCAAAGCTACTATGTGGACTGTAGAATTATAGAAAGTAATTGTTAGTGATTGTTTTTTTAAATATAAACCCAGACAACATGCTGTTTACCAAATAGTATGGTGATCGTTAAAAAATCAATAAAATATATTTAAAAAAAATAAAAACAACTTTGAAAATAAAACTGAACACATCTTCAATTTAACTACACAACAAAAAACTCAGATAATTAAAAAAAGAGATTGATTAAATAAAGCAGACAATCGAACATAACCCAGAGGAAAGAGATTTAAAGATGGAACCCAACAATGGAAGGAATTATGACTTAACCCAGACGGAGAAAAATTTGCAGGAATTATCGGTCATGGAAAAGTTAATTTATACTTCAAGATTGCAAAATAAATCTGAGGACAAGAAAAAAGATTCGACAAAATGGATTATAGAACTGTCAGGAGAAGGAGAACTTGACAGACAAAAAATGATAAGAGAAATTAAGAGAGAAAGAAAGAAAAAGATTTTCAATGAATATGAAGGGATGAAACATTCCTACTAAAACATCTTGAACTTGTCTCTTGTACCTACAATAACATCTACAAAACTATGGGAAGATCTTCTGGTCCAGCGGAGCATACTGATTAGGAAAGATGTTTGGCGCAAAAAAAAAAAAAAAGGCTAAAGTTAGAATCAAGAAATTAGATGATGGGATTTATCAGATGGAATATCTAAAGATTGAATATGGTTAAATAAATAGAAAAATTCTGGATATAAATGAATTGTAGTTATTATTTTATAGTACAGGCAATAAAAGGGAAAAGATTAAGGATAACCAGCTGGAATATTAGCAAAGCTGCTGAAATGAGAAGGGGGAATCCCATGTTAGGACACACCTTTATGTCCCCAGAGGAGGGAATTCAAACAATTCCATGCTGATATGCCTTTAATGATGGAAGAACAATGCTATTTGCCTATATTATCAAAAAGTACTTTAGATATAAAGTACTTCAGTATTACAAAAAAATTTTCTTGTTTAACCTTTTAATTTAAAAAGTATGTTTTTCAATTTCATATTTTTATATACATCTTGATTATAAACAAACATAATTCAAATGTGGAATGCTGTAATTATAGTTTATAGATGAATTATATGAGAATAAAAAAAAGTGTAATCAACTTCCAGAACATTCTAACAAAATATAGGTTAAATGAAATGGAAAAAATCTGATAAGAGATTAATCTAAGACTACAAATGATATGATTGGATTCAAATCATCCTCAGGAGGTTTATCTGATTTGTTGTGGGAATGTAAATCCACTAGGAGTAGACTGAATCCCCAATTTCAGATTTGTTTTCTCCTGATGAACAATTGCTCCATTTTATCTGGATTAAATCTCACATCTAGTTAGCCACAGTCTTCCTGGTATCAATTGGTAAAGAATAAAAAAGCACAATAACATCACCCAATCCTCAAACCTGAGGTTGTTTTACTTTGCTTTATTTATATCTGTCTGGGAAACAGAATCCTGAAAACATTGCAGAGATCAATTTTACGGGGCCAAGTAAAAGTCCTGTTGGACTACATTTTCAAAGTGCAGAAACATTTAAGATTAACCCCTGTAAAATAATATCCCATGTTAGGCAAATGCTTCAAAGGATAACTTGCTTAATGGTACTGAATGCTCTAAAAGTGCAGCTGAATCCATGGGAACAAAATTTTCTTCTGCAAAGGTCATTCAATGAATCAACAAAAGCTGGTTTTTACCTCCAAGTTGCCTTTTTTAATACAATAGTCTTAGATGTATCTGAATGTTTTTCAAATTCAAGCTCTCAGGAAGGAAATGTATTTCCACATCCTGTTCACCATTACCAATTGCCAAATTATCAGTCTAATTAGGTTTAATGAAATGCAAGGAAATACTCACAAATATACTAAGGGAATTGCATACAGACTAATGAAGCATACCATATTTTTAAAAGGCTGTGGACATCCACCTTTCCATATGCTACTTTGCAGAGAAGAATGCTACAATCAAAATAAAAACTATCAATAATACTCTTAATTACACTTGATAAGTGGATTTTTATTTTAGAATGAGCTTTTTCCTGAATAGAATCCCAAGAACATTTTATACAACTAAAAAGCAACAGTAATACTGTATTTGGTTTGGAAAAAAAAATTGTTATCCAACCCTATTCTCAACAAAATATTGAGAATTTGACTATTATATGTCATTTCTTTTCATATGACATTATGGCTATTACAAGTTTTGTCATCAGTAGAAAACCAACCAAGAGGTCTAACTAAATAAGATTAAAGCAAGAATGATATTTTGCAGCTTTAGGTAATAAAGATAATAAAGATAAGTCAAGCCACTAACAATATTAGCAGAATGCCAACTATTGATTTTTATGGTTTTATTCATAAACTATCAAGGAATATGGTTTAAAGGTAAAAAGACCTTAAGAAGTAACACTACAATTAAAAAAATAACAACTGCACTTAAACTTATATACCACTCCATAGTGCTTTACAGCACTCTTTGAGAGGTTGACAAATGTCAGCATACTGACCCCAACAATCTGGGTCCTCATTTTTCCAACCTCTGAAGGATCAAAGGCTGAGTCAGCTTGAGTTGATCAGGATTGAACTCTTGGCTGTGTGCAAAGTTAGTCTACAATACTGCATTCTATCCACTGCACTGCATTCTAACTACTTACATTACAAAAATGTAATTCAACCTAGTAGACTATAAAATAAATAAATAAATAAAAGTGTATCTTCTAGTGAACCGCAGAATGATTAGTAGTAGATAAACAAAGAAGGCTGATTTCTTGGTAGCACGACTCTCATCAACATCAAATCTTAAATTATACTGCTGTAATGAATTCTAGTCTTGTACTCCAAATCAATTGTTGATTAATTCTCAGTGTATTTTTTTTTCTTACCATGTTTCAGTTAGTGGATTTGGAGTTCTGGGTTTTTTATTTTTAAAGTCCATTCTGCAAGTTTATTATTTGTAAGCTGCCCAAAGTCACCTTATCAGGGAGATGGGCTGCATCTATATTTAATAAATAGTTTTTATAACATTTGACCGCTATCTAAATATTGCTAGTTTTTTTCTTCAAAAAGTCATAAAGAAATAACTGAGTAGAAGAAATATATGCGAAATTTATTTTCTCTCCTGCACATATTATCTTGCTTATAAACCAAAAGTCCTGGTTTATGTTTTTATTTAGCTGCATTATAAACCATATGAAAATTAAAGAATTACAGATTTGTTACTGGCAATGGGTAATCATCCCTTATGAAAAGCAGTACATGTGACAGTTTTTACCACAATCTCTGCCTCATAAACAACAGTCCTATGGACAGACTCCTCTAAACAGCATGTTTTAAGCTTCATATATATGATGGTAGAGGAACTGAAAGGTCAGGAAATGACCTGGAAGCAAGTAGTTGATGTTTAGAATTGAAGCTAATCAGGTCTTGCTCTGTAAATTGCTTAGAAAATATTGGTGGGCAGTTTGCATTACCTGGAGAAAAAGAACATCAGAGCAATAAGTAAAATTATGACACTATTAAGGATATTATGAATTTAAGAAGAATTTAGATAGAGGTGTTCCTCTGTGATGCTTGAGTAAAAATAATTCCAAGGATTTCAAGTAAAATTTTCACCTTAGTAGGAGAAACTATTTCTGTACCTTCTTTTCCAAAGCCTGGCCTGAATGAAGGTTTATAGCAGGCATGTCAAACTTGCGACGTCATGTAATGTCGCGCAACATATCGGGCCGGTTTTGCCATTGCCGACAATGGGGTGGGCGCGGCTTCCACGTGACGTGTCTGGCCTGCGGGCCGGCAGTTTGACACCCCTGGTTTATAGCATGTAAAAGCTGAAGAAAAGCTCCATCAGACATTTAAATTAAACTCCACATTCCAAATTGAGAAACTTTGTTAACATAAATGGGTTTGCTGCTTTGTTGTGGCTTTTTTTACCTTAGTGATGATTCTGTTCTTCTGAATCATTTTGAGCTAACTGACCAGGTTAACAGATAATGTTGCCATGTTTTAAACAAAAATATACATCAACTAATCTTTAAACATTCCACATTTATATGCAGAATCATCTATTACCATAAAGTTTCTAACAGCCATCTTTTAATCAATGTCTCCAATCTGATATATTCCAGATATATTTGAATATAATGGCCATTGTCCCCAGCTGAGATAATTAATGGGCATGCTAATCAGTATAATGAGATTTCTAAGCCAAAACAACTTCCAGGGACCCATTTCAGGCTGTCTTATGTAACCAACTGAATGCAGTTAATTCAACCACTGCACTTAGAATTTTATTTCATAGTTTTTTTTCTCCAGTTAAGCAAATCAGGAGAATAATCCTTTGAGTGGTCTGATACTAGTGGGAAGGAGGATTGTCTTTATTCTTGTTTTTACTGGTTGCTGTAAGCTACCTAGGACCATATGAGATAGGTGCCCATATAAGTTCTATAAATAGCTAACTAAATTCATAAAGTTACCTTTCCAGATCTCTGAAGTCAGGAGTGGTGCCAGTGGGGCAAGCATAATAAAGAGAGTTGCCAGAGCATCTTCAAATTCTGCACTATGGATGATAAGCTGCTCAGAACTTTGCTATGAAAGGAAAGAATGAAGAAAATGGATTTTTTTAACTGTGGGAATAAAATTAAAACATTAAGAAGTTTGTAATAACATACTGTAGCATTTGATATTAGGTGAAAAATTATCTATAAATAACTTTTTTTCATAACAACATGATAAATACATTGTAGAATCCAATTCATAGGAAATGTCAGCCTTTAGCAAATTTCAAAGAATGCTCCAGAAGACCAATTTATAACAATAAGGCTTCAAAAAGCAAGCCAGAAATAAGCAATTGTGAAAGATACGTTAGGCAAAATATGTACACCTGGCTAGGCCTGGGTTTCGTGGACTTCAATTGCCAGAATTTCTCAGCCGTAGGGAATTTGGGGAATTAAAATCCTTACATTTTAAAGTTGCTAAAGTTGAAAAACACTAGTCTAGATAAAGTCATGGAATGAAAAGAAGTGAAGGAAAAACAGTTCCTCCCATTCCCAATATTGAAGGAGTTAATAAACTAATCCCAGTGAAAGTGATGGACTAAGGATAGGAAATAATAAATTAAAGTCCACTCCCAAACAAGGCCATATTAATGGGTTTGTTGCTATCTCTCAGTACCACCTGTCTTTCAGGAGAGTTGGGAGGATACTCTATACCAGAGGTCTCCAACCTTTTGGGCACCAGGGACCGGTTCTGTGGAGAAAGGTTTTTCGGTAGACAGGACAGTGCGTGGTTTTGTGTGCTGCCTACATCCCATGGATGGGACTTTACTTGTTTGTGCAGCCCGGTTGCTGGCATGCTGCAGCCCGGTACCGGTCCATGGACGGGGGGGGGGGGGGTTGAGGACCCCTGCTCTACACACTGACAAGAACCCTTGGAGGCACAAGAATATACATAATAAAAGCACCAACTTCACATGCAGGCTCTGCCATGGCTACATTATTCCCAAAATATTTCTGCATGTGTAAAAACAGAATGATTTCATATTCACACATTCAATGTGAGTAGAAAGGAGGAAGTGAAAAAAGAAAATTTTCTGCTTCTTTGAGACCAAGTGAGAAATGATTAGAGTCATAGAAATCACCCAATCAGGCAAATAATTCAAAAGCAGGCAAAAGACATTTTTAATTAGCTAGAGCAGGGGTATCAAACTGCTGGCCCACGGGCCGGACACATCATGTGGAAGCCGTGCCCATGCCATTGCCGGCAATGGCAAAACAGTCCCGATATGTTTCATAACGTCATGTGACGTTGTGAGTTTGACATGTCTGAGCTAGAGTATTACTTTAAGGGAATAATTTTGTTTTGTCTATTCAAACAAACACTCATTGGTTAGATTTACATAATACTAAATAAACACAAAATGGCTAGAATGGGCAAAGCTGTATCACACATTACAAGCAAGAAAATAAGCATTAATCAGTAGGAAGTAAGTGCAGTTCAATTCCACATAATAATTAGGGTAGCAATAAACATTCTAATTGAAAATATTTCTTTAGAGCTGCTATGAAAATATAAAATTCCTCTAATATACTTGAAATACACACCAGCCCTTTCCCCAGCTGTATTGTAAGGCTGATTGTCTTGCCACTCTCTATCTATTATCAATCAACTTGATTCACAACAGGACTTCAGTGTTTGTGTTTAACCACTGCTGGAAGAAGAGAACTTTTTAAAGGAAAACTATGCTGCCTTTGGAAGACGTGTACTTTCTGGTTTTAATTTTAGTCTTCATATTTCCTCATTCGGGGAGAAGTGAAAGTTAATATTAAAACTTGTTCTGCCACACTAAGTTTTACTCTACTGCTCTGTTTTATTCAACCCTCCCATCAGTTAAGGATGTAAAAAGATGGCCTGCAGAAAAAATGCTATTATATTAGCAGCAAGAGATGTAGTTTAAGTCTTTTCTTTCAATGTAGTCAGTCTATGCCAGATTCTGATTTAGCTGTTAAATACTCTCAGATAGAAAATAAAAGTTTTACTTTATTCAAAAGGATTTTTTTTTAAAAAGTAACAGTTATCTGACTGCCTTTTAAAACTCCATTATTAGAAATACATCACAATTTACAGTCAATAAATAAATACAGTGATTATATTCATAATATTGCAGGGCAAAAAATTACTTGATACCTATATTTCACTACTAATAGTTATCAATTTTATTGAAATTAAATTTTATATATTTCCAAAAGGACAATTTCATATTTTCTTTTATGTGAGTGTGTGTGTGTGTGTTTGTGTGTATATAAAATTATTTCATAGGAATACAAAATGAAACATTATGCCACATGTATTGATATAATACATTATATTAGATTGGATTGATATTGTACGTTGAGGGAATAAACAGACTTTTTGTAAAATAAGCAAACTTACATAGCATACTCACCAACAATATGTTACTGAGACCCATTAGTCGAGAAATTATGCCATTAAATAAATAATCCTCCAGGAAGTATTCTGTTACCTAAAATACAAAAGCAAGCATTTTCTTCAGTTAATTTAGATTACAACAGAAGTTCTCCAGCAAAGGTTTTGTTCTCTATTTTTTAAAACATTTGACACCTTTTATAGACTACGGAACTAACATAGGAGCATATAGAAACAATGCTTCATTGATTTTTAAAAACACTATTTTAACATAAAAAACATAAACCAGTTGAGTTTTGGTTATTATCCCTTTAGCTTCGAAATATTAAGGGCTATGGGGTGGGGGAACAGCATTCTAGATATTCTATAATTAATTGGAGTTGGTAGAGTATGTGTTCATACCTCTCCCCCTCTCAAAAAAATTAGCCCTGAATTGGCTTTAAGTGGTAATCTTTAAAAAAGATAAAATGAGGGCAATTTAACATTCCTGGCTTTGGAGCAGGACAAAGATAGTTGCTATTTGGTAACATCTGAGAAATCATTACAATTGCCATTCATGACTTTTTTTTGGTGCTACAACATTATGGAAGAAATAGAAACAAGTATGGTATGTGTGAAACAGAACATTGTTATTTTTATCTGCAAAGCAATAACTGATTTTCATAACACATTCTCTAGTTCAGGGCTTTTCAACCTTTTCACAGATTATACCACTTTTAGGACATGACAATATTTGAGTACCACCAGTGCTTAGCAAGGTGTCAAAAACTTGATGACTAAAAAACAAAGGGGGGGATTTTGGGTTTTACTAATTAGATTCATTTGTTGTTATAGAAATGGATAGTTTATAATATTATGGAAAAGTAAAAAGTTGAGGTTCAATGTTAATAATTCCTTCTACTGCAACAGAGGAAGTATGTTCTTTTTCCCTTCTCCCCCTCACTTTTTCCCCCTTTTCCTCCATACTGTGTCCTACTATTTGCTTTTGTATTTTATTCTATAATCTAATAAAATATTACAAACTGTAGAAAAAAAGAAAAAAGTACCACTTTTAATTTCTTCGGTGGCTGTTCCTTTGCTGAATCACTTTCCCTTTGCACTGACAAATGTATGATGAATTTAACCATGTTTATTAATATGCACCACTACCAGCTAGCTCAGGGGTCTTCAAACTTGGCACTTTTAAGACTTGTGGACTTCAACTCCCAGAATTCCTCAGCCCTCATGGCTGGTTGAGGAATTCTGGGAGCTGAGATCCACAGGTCTTAAATTTGCTAAGTTTGTAGACTCCTGAGCTAGCTGGTTTGCCCTTCTGAGCTCTTTCACAGTGTTGTAAGAATGCACTCCCCTCCCAATCCCTCCCCTGTACCATTAAAGACACAGGAATCAAGTGCAAAGCAAGAAAATAAAGAAACAAACTGTTTTTTTTCTTTTTAAGCTGCCTCAGGCGTGTCACGTGTCACAATGTTGCAATTCTAGACTGAAAGGCTCTGGCAATTGCGAAAAGCTTTAGCTTTAAATTAAGCCTCTTTACCTTCAAAGAAAACTTTCTAAAAGCCAGACAGACTCAATTAAAGGGGGTAAAACTAATAACATTTGTTTAAAGGGATTAAACCTTTCCAGTTGTCTTTTTTCCCCTTCCCCCACCCAAACCACGTTCTTTTATAACCTCTCCCCTCTTCCCCCCCTTTTTTTCTTCAGTTCACTTCCAGCTCCGAGCTGCTTCTGGAAGCGCCAATCAGCTGGAGCCCTGCCAGCTCCTGGGGCTTCTGCCGAGCCCAGACAGTCCTGCAGCTGCCTCTCCCTCAGGCTTAGTTCACTTCGCCTCATTCCCCTCCCCTGCCACACTTGGCTAGCAATCGCGTACCACCTGCCATGTGGCAAAGTACCACAAGCGGTACGCGTACCACCGGTTGAAAAGCTCTGGTCTAGACAAGTAAAAAATTATATCTCTGTTGCAGTTGGTGTTAAACATCAGTTAAACTTTGCTAACATGTTTGCAATAGGCAGAATCTCTTTCCAACCTCAGAGACAGTGAAGTTCTTCTGTATCCAGATATGTTTGGCATTCAGCTTATCTTTCTGGTTAAGTAAGTGAGGACTGGGTAGAGGACCACCATTTCTGGCTTCTATAAATTTAGTTGCCAGGAGCCAGATGCGGGTTTGCCATCGTAACACCCCAGGGATTGCATCAGCTAAATGAAAAATGATAAAACAGAAGTTTTCATTAGCTCACATTAAGATAGCAATTTCAGCTAGGAAAAAAGAAAAAAATAATGAATAGTTCTGCCCTTCTTTACTAATCAGTCATTAGTGCCAGTTTTTAATTTTAGAACAATTAAAAACATTCTTATTTAATTGGGATAAAATGATATTTAACTTGTTTGATGGTATAGCAAGTACTCATTGTATTTAAAATATTCTGTTTTTCCTTTCTTTCTTCAGGCTTATGATTTAGTGCTAGGAACCATTTACCAGATCTGTCCACTGTAAAGTTAGATAAAAAAGTGATGTCTAAACCAACTGCTCTCTTAACTTGGAAATAAAGAAATACAGATTCTAGTAGTGCTGCTTACAGAAGGAAGATAAGACATTCCCCACTTTCTACAGAATTAAAGAATATGAGCTTATAACAGTTCAGATCCTCATATCCGAGTTGCTACTTGATAGATCTGCATCATAAATACTTCTGCATAATCACTGAAAACAACCCTCTAATTCTCACAATTGTACCCTCTATGGTAAGGGTGTCAAACTGGCAGCCCGTGGGCCGGATGCGCAGGCCACGCCCACCCTGACTCCGCAAAAGCAAAAACATTGCAATACATCATGTGACGTGATCGAGTTTGAAACCTGTGCTCTATGAGCATCCCTTTTATATGAATGTTAAGGATTCTTCTGCTCTTCTAACTAATGGCAAAGTGCAAAATTCTGTGGTCAGCCAATATCTATTTACACACATTTGTTGTGCAATAAAAAGCAAACTACTCTGTGTGGGGAACAGAGCTACCCTCAGATTGTTCAACTAGGATGAGGAAGGAATGATGGGACTAATGTCATTAAGGCCCCATGACCTCATGAGGAAAATAGGCCAAGAGGGAGGGAGTTGACAAGAGGTCAGCCAGCAAACAAATAATTCCTTCCCCCAGTTCCATGAGGATTATTGTGTTAACTTGCAATGTTAACTGACTCATCTATGACCCTTGTATGGCTTTGTACAGACAGAGAAGTAACAATGTGGTTTCAGATCAATGAAGGAGTTGTACATAGGAAGAATCTAAATTGATACATCCTGTCAGGGAGTTACATTTATACTTAATATTAAATGTTTCTTTCAAAAACACATCTGCTTCTGTTTTCAGTAGCATTCAAAATATCTCCCAAAAAAAAATCACATACACTCTAATGACTTTTTTCCAGTGTACTGAACTGTAGTTTCCATGAGCTGGAATATTTGATGACTGAGAATTAAGGCACACCTGGATGCTGCCAGCTTGAGGAAGGTTGCCATAAAACATTTGTGCCTGGCAAATATTTGGAATGGAAAGGGCCCAGAAAGTGTGTTTGGGCTACAGGTTAGAGAAGGTTGCTAGAAAGAGAAATGGATGTCTTCCTATGGCAACTTGTAAATAGCACAACTATAAATAACAAAGTATGAAAGAAAACCCAATAAATATACTTCAATTCTGACCAGATATTTTCTTCATGAAAACAGCAAAAAGATTTAATCTGGGAATTTTGTCAGCATTTTGAAAGTATAAAAGGAATTTTGCAACAAAAATATCAATTGATATCAGAAGAATTTGGGTTTTTGGAAGGATTCTTACTCTTTGCTTCCCATAAGATGTCCTGCTCTGGAGGGGCAGTAAATAGGATGTATAGCCGGACTGTATCAATTCCATACTTCTGAATTATATCTTCAGGTTCAATTCCATTGTACTTGGATTTGCTCATTTTTTCCCACAATAACTGCAGTTTCTCTTTGTTTTTTGCATGAATGGGTTCAGGACCTAAATATATACATCAAGAAAAATGTAAGATACAACCTCAGAAATATTTCACATTAAGAGGTGATTGCTTTAAATCCTTTGCTGCACCCATGTTCAAAATGTATTCTATTCAAGGTCATCTTCAGTAAGCAGGTTGTAGTCATACTGGCTGAGGTGAAAGGAATGGTTCTCCTGTCTGAAGGAGTTAAGTTTGAAAGGCAGGTCTTTGGAATAAAAAATTGAATTGTTTATTCTCTTCTAGGAATTTTTACTTATCCAAATTAGATAATATTTGTACTGTACATAGAAATTTTTAATTTTTCTTACTTTAAATTCAATAATGTGCAAAATAATTTGTTTGTATTAAATGTGAAGATTATAATAATTAAAAAACCTTTCTTGCACATCATCATCACAGTTCACCTTTCCTGGGATGGGTTGATCTCATATAAAATATATTTACCCCATGTAATATCTAATGTCCCACTTATAGCAATTCACATCTGGTTCATCCCCTGAATGTCAGCCCCAAATGAGCTATGCTTTTATCAAAATATAAAAACCCCACAAAGCTCACAATTTAACTATCTGCAACAGCTTGATCAGCAATAGTAGATATTATTGTGCGTATCTATGGCAAAAATTTACATTTCTACACCCTCAAAGCTGATTAATTTGATTAAAGGTGCATAGTATTTAATGAAGTAAAGATTAAATATCAAACTTTGGTCTCTAGTCAGGTATTCAACAATTTTTCCTATCACATTAAATATATATAATTTAGCAATAATTGTAAAGATCTCTAGGACTCCATCCAAAGTTATGCATAAAAGTTATGCATAAAAAAGCCAACATTCTTCACTTAGAAATACTATGGGCCAACTAGAAACACTCAGCTAGCAGCATCTTAGGCATAAAATTGTTTATCAATCAATAAAAACATTCATTGTTGAACTATAATATCTCTAGTAAATCAGCTAGCTCAAGGGGTTAAATAATGTTACTAAGGTCTGATAAATAACATTCTCTAATAAATAGAACTTTTCACTAAACTGGCATTTGATTTTGTCTGATTATACAGTGGATATAAAAAGTCTACCCCCCCCCGTTTTTGAGATATATAAAAAAAATCGGACCAAGATAAATCAATTCAGATTTTTTCTCACCTTTAATACAATATAACATACAAGCTGTACCATTCAACTGAAAAACAAACAGATCTTTAGGGAAAAAAATAAAAATAAATCACATACAATAAAGTAGTTGCATAAGTGTGCACAACCAATAATATTTTGTTGAAACATTTTTTTGATTTTATGACAGCATAGAGTATGAACAGTAAACAGGGTGAACTAGAAATCCAGGTAAATGAGGGCAGATATGATATTGTTGCCATTGCGGAAACATGGTGGGATGAAATCCACAAATGGAACACAAAGCTAGAGGGATTTAAATTATTTTAAGAACCACTGAACCATACTTTTCAAAGATCCTGTAGCACTGTGGAACTACTAGAGGACTAGAAAAGACTGATGTAGTTCCCATCTTCAAAAAAGGGGGAAAAATGGATCCAGGAAATTACAGACCTATCAGCCTGATCTCAACACCTAGGAAGATTCTGAAAAAGATAATCAAACAATGAATCAGCGAACACCTAGAGGCAAACAAAATCATTACTAAAAGCCAACATGGGTTTATCAAAAACAGATCATGCCAGACAAATCTTATTGCATTCTTTGACCAAGTGACAAATTAGTGGACCAGAGGAATGCTGTGGATATAATTTACTTGGACTTCAGTAAGGCATTTGATAACCTACTACTTGATAACCTACTACTTGTGGGTTAGACAGCATCACCACCAGATGGATTCATAGCTGGCTGACTGGCAGTACTCAGCGTGTGATCCTCAATGGAACTGCATCTACATGGAGAGAAGAGTGTAGTGGGGTGCCCCAGGGCTGTTCTGGGCCCAGTGCTCTTCAACATCATCAACGATCTGGACGAGGGGATAGATAGGGAACTCATCAAATTTGCAGACGACACCAAGCTGGCAGGAATAGCCAACACTCCAGAAGATAGGCTTAAGATACAGAAGGATCTGGACAGACTTGAACACTGGGCGCTATCTAACAAAATGAAATTCAATGGTGAAAAAAGTAAGGTTATACATTTAGGCAAGAAAAACCAAATGTACAGGTATAGTATGGGGGTACCTTGCTCAATAGTAGTAACTGTGAGAGGGATCTTGGAATCCTAGTGGACAATCACTCAAATATGAGCCAGCAGTGTGCTGCAGCTGCCAAAAAAGCCAACACAGTGCTAGGCTGCATTAACACAGGGATAGAAGCAAGATCACGTGAAGTGTTAATACCACTTTACAATGCCTTGGTAAGGCCACACTTGGAATACTACTTCCAGTTTTGGTCACCACGATGTAAAAAAGATGTTGAGACTCTAGAAAGAGTACAGAGAAGAGCAACAAAGATGATTAGAGGACTGGGGGCTAAAACATATAAGGAACGGTTGCTGGAATTGGGTATGTCTAGTTTAATGAAGAGAAGGATGAGGGGGGACATGATAGCAGTGTTCCAATATCTCAGGGGCTGCCACAAAGAAGAGGGAGTCAAGACATTCTCCAAGGCGCCTGAAGGCAGGACAAGAAGTAACGGATGGAAACTAATCAAGGAGAGAAGCAACCTAGAACTAAGGAGCAACTTCCTGACAGAACAATTAACAATTCACCAGAAGCGGTAAATGCTCCAACACTGGTAGTTTTTAAGAAAAGACTGGACAGCCATTATCTGAAATGGTATAGGGTTTCCTGCCTGAGCAGGGGGTTGGACTAGATGACCTACAACAGTGGTGGCGAACCTATGGCACGGGTGCCAGAGGCGGCACTCAGAGCCCTCTCTGTGGGCACGCGCACCGTCGCCCCAGTCCTAGGCCTTCAGCTGGGTTTTATAAAACCTTTTCGCTTTAGGCCTCCGCCGCCGTGTGCAAAAAAAAAAAGTTCAATCAATCAATCAATTTCAACTTCTCGCGGGAAAAAAAAGATCTTGCAAAGTTGGAATTGATTGATTGAACTTTTTAGTCCCACCCAGTCTGCTGTTACCACCGCAGCCACGCCCAGCCAATGGGCCACGCCCACCCAACAGGCCAGACCCACCTGGCACCCGACGATGCATAAGTGGGTTTTGGGTTACAGTTTGGGCACTCAGTCTCTAAAAGGTTCGCCATCACTGACCTACAAGGTCTCTTCCTCCTCTTCCTTCATAATAATAATAATAATAATAATAATAATAATAATAATAATAATAATAATAATAATAATAATAATAACAACAACAACAACAACAATAATAATAATAATAATAATGTTTTTTTGGGGGTAGGAGCCTATTAGTATGGCACATCTGGCTTTGGGAAAATAGGCTTTCTGCCTATTTTTCATGCAAAAGTGCTTCAAATCTGTCAGATTGCAAGGGCACAGCCCTCTTCAGCTTACCCCACAGATTTTCAATTGAATTCAGATCCAGGTTCTGACTCGGCTTTCCAAAAACTTTGATGTATTTCTGGTAAATTCATTCTTGTATTAATTTAGGGGTATGCTTTGGCTGGTTGACATGTTGAAAGGTGAAATTCCTCTTCATCTCCAGCATATTAGAGGCCTGAAGGTTTTGTGCCAAAATTAATTGATATTTGGAACTGTCCGTAATTCCTTCCATCTTCACTGAAGCCCCAGTTCCAGTTGAAGAAAAGCAGCCACAAAGCATAATGTTGCCGCCATCTTGCTTCACTGTGGGTATGGTGTACTTTTGGTGTTGTGAAGCGCTGTTTTTGTGTCAAACACACTTTTTGGAATTATGGCCAAAAAGTTCAACCTTGATCTCATCACACTATAATACATTTTCCCACATGCTTTTGTCAGACATGAGTTTTTGCAAAATGTGGTTGGGTTTGGATGTTTTTCTTGTAAGAAAAAGCTTCTGTCTTGCCACCATATTTCACAGCCCAGACATATGAAGAATAAGGGAAATTGTTGTCACATGCAGTACATAACCATTCTTGTCAAAAATTCCAGACTCTCTTTTAAAGTTGCTATAGGCCTCTTGACAGTCTCTAGAACCAGTTTTCTTGTTTTTTTCATCAGTTTTGGAGGGACATTCATTTGTTAGAAATGTCACTGTTCTACCACATTTTCTCCACATATTAATGACTGTCTTCATTGTGTTCAATGGTATATCCAATGCCTTGAAAATTTTTCTTCTCCTGATGGATACCTTCCAGGAATGAGATCCCTTTGATACTTTGTATACTATTTGTAGGCCATAGTTTTTGCTGCAAGAGGCAACTGAATAAATGTCAGAAAAATCCTATTAGAATAGCTAAACTTTACATGGGCTTGATCAGAATCATTTAATTAGGAAGTGTGTACTGACTACTATTTAACATCAAGTCGAATATAATTGGTTAATTCTGAAGAAAGTTACATCCCTATTTATAGAAAGATATGCACATTTATGCAACCCCATTATTAAAGGTTTTTTATTTTTATTTCCCCCCCTGAAAAATTCTGGTGATTTATCTTGATCAGTTTTTTTTAGATTTCAAAAATCTGGCATTTTAACAGGAGTGTATAGATTTTTTTTTATACTCACTGCATCTAGAATGATATCATACCCTGTAGCAACATCACTAGAGATGTCATGAAATGGAGAAACTGTTTGTGTCAAACTTGGAGCAAACCATTATATCACAGAGATCCTGCTGAACCATTTCAGATCAGCTATGGTTCAGCAGACTACTTTGCTAGTTTCAGATTTCAGACAAAACAAAATCCAGACAGGCAAGTAGGGCAAGGCTCATACACATTGCCTCTTCACTTTCAGCCTCTGCATAGAAATTCCCAGCAAAAATATCCAACTGAACTACCACTGACATTTTCATCTTCCCTTCTCTCCCTGTTAGTTTCTGCCAAAGTCCAAAATACACTTTCTTCTCAGGATCTACCCTCTTTCTCAGCTACTACCAACATCCCAGCATGGCATATCACACCAGACCCTCTGTCAGCAATGCTTTTGGCTGCCTTCTACCCAAAGCAAAAGAGTCTCAAATACCAAACATGAATGTTTCAATTCAGGCCCAGGCCCGTGCAAAACACTATGCACATTGCTAAGCCTCACTTACCAGAAAAATCAATTTCTTCTCTTTTCAAATACTGGCCCGTTTTTGGTAGCTTGAATGTTTGATTCTTGATTAGTCCTTGAACTAAGAGCTTATGAAAAGGTTCTCTAAGGACAGAAAAATGTTGAAATGGTCAAGATACATTTCAAGAATATTCTATTTACATAATTTTAATAGTGGAATATCACAACAAGCATATAATGAACGGAGATTTGGGGCTTTCCAAAGTTAACTGTACATCAATATATTTGAAGGATTTTAAACTGGGGAATCAGAGAAAGGTAATATAACTCATTGACTAATGATTAGAAACATGAATGCAAAAGTATAATAAAATTAGGAGCTATTCAATGAGGGAACTATGAAGATGTACACTATCTAGCCTTTCCTAACTTGGTGCCCTGCAGGTCTTTTGTTCTGCAATTTCCATATTTCTTAGCCATCTTGTTACACAGGAAGTGGTCTGCCCAATCTTTAGATAGTAAGTGTTCCCTGTTGGATAATCTCAATTCTGAACAGCACGAAGGATTCAAGACCAGTCATGAAAGCTGGGCAGATACCAAATTCAGACTTGGATGTCAATGCTGTCCCCAAGAACTCTTTTAATCAGATATCCTTAATTCAGATTATACTTCACTTCTTGCTGTCCAGTTCAAGAAACAGATAAGTTAGCAGTTGAATGCTAGAGTGCAAGCCGTTCTGCAAGATATCGAAGGCAGTTACATTCTTAGGTAGATAAACATATGCAGCTGGGTGATTTTAGTAAAAGAACATAACATAAAATAATACACACAATAATACAGTACAATTTTCCAAAGTAAATAGTCATAATTGGTGAAATTGATAAATAGCAAAAGGACAGGACTTCTTTTTTATACACAAGGATATTTTGCCATTCAAAATCAATCTATCTAAAATTTCCAAACTTTACTAGACATGGAGAAGTCAACTTAAGGTAGGGTTACATAGGTAAGCTTAGATCGCCAGTTTGGTCTAGCAGTTAAGGTACTAGGTTAGAAAACAAGAAACAGTGAGCTCAAGGGCATTAGCCAAGAAAGCCAGCTGGGTGACTTGGGGCCAGTCTCCCTTAGTCCAACCTACCTCACAGGGTTGTGATTGTGGAGAAAATAGGTGGAGGAAGGGTGTCTTGGATACATTTGTTGCCTTGAGTTATTTGTAAAAATAATAAGAGTGGGATGCAAATAAATAAGTAAGATAAGCTTCCAACTTAGAGTTAATTTTTTAGGGAATGTTTTATTTTTTATTATATAGTGCAGATTCACATATATTCCCTTGTTGATTCAAGCTAAGTTTTCAGTTTGTGTTTGCCTGCAGAAATTGCTACTTGAGAAAGGTCAAATTATTTTACCATCTATGGAAGTAAATACAAATTCTTGTTTGTAAAGATGAAGAAGAGGAACTAATGAACAAACAACTTAAATAGAGTGCTTTTAAATGTATGAAAATCTGGAAACAGGCGATACTGAATTATTAGAAACTCTACTTCCTAGTCTACTTTCATTTATTGTTCCATTCGTTAGCAGTTATTGATGATATTACAATTAGAGCTCCCTCTCCTGGTGATAGGAAAAACTACAAGCTAACTGCTTGGCAATTAATTTAATGGAGAAGTTTGCTTTCAATTTTAGTTATCTTATATACTTTAGCACAATCCTGGACTCCTATTATTTTTTTAAATAGTTAATTTTGTATCACTGTCTATCCTTTACTAGCATAGTAACTCAGTGGGGCCCCTTTTTTGCTTGTTCTCCTGAGTAAGGAAATTACTTGAGTTTAAATTACTTGAATTTAAAGAAAAAAAACAAAGAAAACAAAAGAAAAATGAACGTACAGATGATATATTCTACATATACATATATAAATGTATAAATAAAGATATAGATTTTTATTGTTAAAGAGGAATGGAAATCTCCCACTTTAATCCTAGATCAGAACAGTTAACCAAAAGCTTTCCCATTAAGACAAAGAAGAGGGAGATGGTTACAAAGGGAACTCACTGGGCTCCTTAGGTGATTTCCATTTTAAAAATGTGGACTTACCATCTATACTGGACTACTGTAATGCTCTATACATGGGGCTCCCCATGAGGAGCATCCGGAGGCTTCAACTGGTCCAGAATGCGGCCGCGCGGGCGGTGTTGGGAGCGACGCGTCGCTCCCATGTAACGCCGCTGCTGCGCGAGCTGCACTGGTTGCCAGTGGCCTTCCGGGTGCGCTTTAAGGTGTTAGTTACCACCTTTAAAGCACTCCATGGCATAGGACCTGGATACCTCCGAGACCGCCTTCTGCCACAGATTCCCTCCCACATACCGGTACGCTCCCACAGAGCGGGCCTCCTCAGGGTGCCGTCGGCCAAGCAATGTCGGCTGGCGACCCCCAGGGGGAGGGCCTTCTCTGTGGGTGCCCCCACCCTCTGGAACGAACTACCCCCCGAGATCCGGACGATTCCGGATCTCCTAACCTTCCGCCGCGCCCTCAAGACATGGCTTTTTCAGCAAGCGGGACTGACCTAGGGTGAATTTTAAATAGGGACAATTTTAATGATTTTAATAAGACACAGCTATAAATATTTGGTTTTTAATTGGCTTTTATAGGGGAAATGTTTTATATTGTTTTAACATGCTGTGAGCCGCCCTGAGTCCCATGGGGAGAAGGGCGGCATATAAGTTAAATAAATAATAATAAAAATAATAATAAAATAATAATAGATATAACATAAAAGAAACAAAATATGATTGGGCCAAAACAAAGGCACTAGTATCACTGCTCCCCCCCCCTTTTTTCACGTCTTTCTCCAGATGATATCTTTAGACAGTAAACCCTTGGTTTAAGACTTTTTTAAAACAAGATTGTACATTAGCTATCCTTAGAGCTCTTCATGCTGAAGAATGAGGAGGAAATCCATTAATAAACAAATTGTGTAAATGCAGTGAAGGAGAAAGCATTTTGACACAATGGGTAATCTCTGCTTCACTTCTTAACCTCTGATTTCATGCCCTTCTTATTTCCATATGTCAATTTTATTATCTCTCTCTCTCTCTCAGACACACACACAAACCCACAGAGAGAGGGGGGAGGGGGGGAGGGAGGAAGAGAGAGAATTTATATTGTGCATTTGATGGGAGGTAGACTGAGATCAGAGTCACTGAATAGCTCAAAAGCTTAATGTCTGAGTGGCATCTTCCCAGCCTAGTCTAACATTAACAAAAGTATGATATTGTGGCCAGATTAGACTATATACTTTTCTTCATTACTACATTCTATGAATCAGGAATGCATATCCCTCTCTTCCAGATTTTCTTAGTTTGCCTTTGTCACCACTGTATGCCCCCACCCTCTGGAACGAACTACCCCCCGAGATCCGGATGATTCCGGATCTCCTTACTTTCCGCCGCGCCCTCAAGACATGGCTTTTCCAGCAAGCGGGCCTGACCTAGGGAGGATTTTAGGTAGGGATGATTTTAAGAAAATTTTAATTGACACACAGCTTCCAATATTTGGCTTTTAATTTGGTTTTATGGGGTTTTTTTGTTTTTTGATGTATTTTGTTTGTATCTGTTTTAATATGCTGTGCACCGCCCTGAGTCCTACAGGAGAAGGGCGGTATATAAATTAAATTATTATTATTATTATTATTATCCTCATGGGTCTAGTGTTCAATAGATTGCGTATACATTAAATCCAATGTATTAAGCTCATATCTCATAGTTAATTCCCTTGACTGTACCACCAGAGCTTTATACATATATATGAATCTTTTTAATATTAATAATATTTATGGATAACTGACAATAGTAGATGTTGGACAAATATTTTGGAGGAGAAAAACAGACATCTTTTGATTCTCTCTTGAATACATTAAAAGTATTAAGTATATTGTTGAATCCAACTGACAATTACTAGACTTGCATTCATCTGTGGGAAAGTGGGCAATAATTTATTAGGTGTGCACGCATGTATGTATTGTGTACTCAAGCATGTTTGTAGGCACATGTACACATGAACATACTTTTACATGCATATCTAGCCTTCTTTGAGAGTTGCATATGAATAAAGCCAGAGATACTATAAGACTGAATTTGGCCTAGCCATGCCACTTACTTGTGTTTAGTCATGTTCTGATTATGACAAAAATGACTGAAAAACCTGGCAAAATACAAATGCAAGACTGCATGCTCCTTTCCTCCAATGTACAAATCTACAGGCATCCAGTAATCAGCCAAATCTTTATCAAAAGGCCTAATAGGGAAAAAATTAAAAAATAAAAATTATTAAAGAATGTTAGAATCACCTCAAATCATAATAGTCACTAAAACATTATTATCCTGATTTAAAGGGTGTTGTTAATTTGAGACTGCCATTAGGGGGCAACAAGAATATATTATATCACAACAAAATCTATTCTGAACATTCAGTGGCCACAACTCAAAAGATAGTACTTCCTTTTTAAGTCACATTGTGTATGTGGCCTTGAACAATGGTAAAGGATGTCAAACAGCTCTGTAGGAGTTATCCAGGTCTGTGCTTTTGGCAGGTGATCAAGCAGTTCTTTCAGGATAAGAATATTTATAGAAGTAGTCATTTAATACATAGGAATATGACTTTAAAAGTACTAACTGGTTGCAAGGCAAAAATTTGTTCAGAATTAGACACACACGCACACAAACTATAAATCAGGATTAATAAAATATTAACGCAAAATCATTTCAATTATAGAAAAAGTAGTCTCCAATGTAGAAATAAATGATGGATTAAGAACAAGTACTGAATCCAAGTTATGTCAGAGGAAACTGGGGAGATAAGGATAGATTTGGAAGATATTCAAATCAATATTGCTCTTACAAAAAAGGTAAAAATTTGAACTCTCCTAAAGCATCTTTAGCCATCTGAAATTTGATACAACACATTCAGGCAACACAGCTACACAATGCCGTGTTTCTCTTTAATCTTGCTGTATAAGGAAAATAGAATATGGAAATAGATGAGGCTCTAGTTTCACGATGAATAGCTCTAGTTTCTAATAATTTTACTAACGTTTTTCTAGGGTTCTTCAGTAATGGTGTTTCAAGGGAAATTTCCTGAAATAACAAGTTAGAGGATTGTTCTATGATTCCCTTTTTTCATTAACCACTGATGGATTCTTTGAGATGTAGCAGATTGTGGTATGGGAAGCTGGCTTGGAAAATGCTGGAGGTTCCTAATCCTTCCACCTGTGCTTCCTGTTCATCTCACACACATTATATGCTGCAATCTTTAAATGATACCAATCCAAAAAAAGCTTTAAACTGTTTTTCATTTGCTTTGATAATTTTTATCACTCCACTGAAGATTTCTTACTAAAGAACACTTCTATCCATTATCTTGAATATCTTCTCTAGCATAATATTGCTGTCTGTCTGTCTGTCTGTCTATTTCTGGGAAACTTGGCAGATGATAACTTGTTTGCAAATCTCATTCAACTCTATTTTTATTTCAAATAAGTTAAATATATTTGTAATATTATCTCTTCTGAATTTAAATAAGTTGTATCCAAAACACTTTTTATCCTAAAGTAGCTGTCGAAAATCTGGAAAGTTTTGACAATATATATCCTTCCAAGAGGGAAGAGGTCCACAACAGGTAAGAGAGTACCCTATGACATTTAAAGCAATCAAAGGCTAATCTTTTTATATTCTGTATCTGCAGTGAAGCCAATAACTCACAAGAGATTCTCTTAGAAGAATCATTTTTTTAACTATGCTTGGCATAAGTTGAAGACAAGTAATAGAAATATTAGCTAGAGGAGAACCTTCCACCTGGGCTATAAAAAGACTAATGAGCCTATAGAACTATATATAAGTGTAAAATGAAAAATATTCAAAGTACTTACTTTTCTGTATTGTGAGGATCAGTGTACCTTAAATAATACCAAGCTGAATCAACAAATGTATCCATTGTGTCAGTTTCTCTCCTTGCAGGCTTCTTACATCTGATAATAAATTATAATTGATATTTGTAAGGATCTATTAAGATAAAAGGGAGTAGGAGAGGGGAAGGGGGTCTGTTTTTTAAGATGGGAGAAAATACATACGGACTACCGTTCTCTCTTCACCATCTATTATGCTAATATAAGCAAATGGCGATCTAATGAGATGTAAAATCCTTAGGTCCTTACTGAGGAAATCAGAAACTAAAAAGTATTCAATAATATTCCTATTTTGATTAAGAAAAGAATGGATTCCCATATTACCATTTATTTTATTTTATTTTATTTTATTTATTAAACAAATTTATATAGCTGCCCAACCACCCACAGGTGATTTTGGGCGCTTACAACATCAAAAATCTGTATAAAAACCATAAGATCCACATTCTTGTATCCACATGGCAGCAGTATCATAATCAGATCAACCACTTAATCAGCTGCATCTCCTGCTTGTGGACCATTGACAAAACCATGTCTTCAGGGCCTTTTGGAAAAGCAACAAGGGTGGAAGCCATTCGTACATCTGGGGGAATGATATTCCACAGAGAAGGCATCACTACCAAGCAGGTCCTTTCTTGTGGTCCCACCAAATGTGCAACCCTAACAGATGCGATCTGCAACATACCCTGCCTTCCCATCCTGATGGGCTGGGTAGATATAAAGGGTGAGAGAGGGTCCTTCAAATAGCCTGGCTCCAAGTCATGTAAAGTTTTAAAGATGGTAACCTGCACCTGGAAGCAGATTGGCAGCAAATGCAGCTCCCGCAAAAGAGGTGACACATGCACAAGTCTAAGTTTAAGCAAAAGTGTTCAGACTGCTGAATTCTAACTCAACTGAAACTTTTGGATACTCTTCAAGAGTAGCCCAATGCAGAGCACATTACAATAGTCCAGACAGGATAGACTTCCCATTTAAAAAAAATCTTTGTACTGGGCTTAGGATTTATTCTACCTCTTGCTCTCTCTGCCTGTTGAGACCACTGCCATGTAGAGCATTAATAATCAATTAATTTTGTCTTGATAATCTCAAACAATCTCTCCATTAATCATCTTGTCACTATTATCTTAGTATTAAAGAAGCATCAGCTGCCACTGGGTTTTTAACGGGAACTAAGTACAGCTAAATTAATATGGAGCCATCCCTTTTATTGCAAAGGATAGGCAACACTGAATTATTCCATGATTTCCAATTAGCATGCCCAGTAGCAAGAAAATTATGTTATTGCAGCCACAAAAATTAGATGCATCAGGAAGCTTATTCCTGGTCTTGAACAAATAATTCTCTCTTTCTCTTTCCCCCTTTCACACCTTCATATTCCAGACTTCACAAGGGCTGAACACATAATTCCCTAATGCTGAACTTCACTGAATGCTGAATCACAGCATACTCTGTGGAGAAAATTCTATTAACAGGAAGAAGGAGAATGCCAACACCTAAATCTTAGAACTTATGGCTTGATCAATAGTTGGATATAACATGGCTGATGCAGGTTAAAAAAACAGCACATCACTATTAAAAGAAAAAAATATTTTGTTTTTACTCTGCTTACTGACTGGATTAACTATACCACTTCGATATATCAATTAATGTAATAAAGAAAATTATAAAAAAGAATGTACGATTTTAGATAAGAGGCAAGAGTGTTTTTCAAGTTAAGCACTGATTAATCCTCTTCTGTAACAGAGAATTGCTATGGTCTAGATTGCCCAATAACATTTTTACATTAGCTATGTTTTTAGAGGAAGACTGCTAATGACCCTAAAGAAATAAGAATTTCTCAAGATTGCCAGTGTCTGAACTTCACTTTTTATCTTGAATGCTCCTTGCAATAGCAAGAGTAAAGAATGAGCTGTGAGGCGTTACAATACAGAGGTAAGCCTTATTACCAGAAGGAATTTATTCAGAACCTCTTTGAACTATAGAGAGAAAGTGACAGGTTTACTGCCTCTGTGTTCTGAAGTATGAATGGTTTCAGATCACTTACAGCTCTGGCAAGGCAGCCTAATAATAACAAATTCATCATGTCAGCTTTGCTGAGAGCAGTGTTCCATAATACACATGATGAAGAAATAGTCTACCAAGGAATCTGGGTCTTTTCCACTCACCAACCTCATGCCCTTAAAGAGTACAGATTTAATTTCCTCAATGAATATGTAATGTTCTGAATCTGAATTATATTCTTGCAGACCAAACAAACAAGAATTTTAAATGTGGCCTGTATAAAATCCCTTTCTAATTCAAATCCCCTTTATACAGAGCAGCAGTAGGTCTCAGACTGATTACAAAAATATAAGGCAACTCATGCATTAACATTTTCTAATGCAGAGACAGTCTTTTAAAACACAAAGCAATAGCTTTTAAGTTCCTATGTTTGAAGAGTAAATACAGCAAATATATATATATATATTAGACAATGTAAAAGAAAAGTGTGTTTGTAATATCTTGCTGCAAATGAATGAATGCAGTTCCTTAATTTCTAATGTAAAAATAATAAAAAAGGTAGTAATCGATCTTACTTAGACTCTAAAAATAGATTTCTTCTTTATTTTTTTTAGCAGCTGCTTAATCTCCCAAAATACAAAAACAGTACAATAGTTAACAATTTCCTCCTAGACAAACTATGGTTCAAAGATGTAATGTGTAAACATTAGTTTATTTTTAAGTGAGCTGAACTAATTAATAATGTGAAAATTTTTAATTCTAATTCAGGGCAGAATATTTTTTAAAAACCATTAAATATTCAGCACCATGAAAATGACATAAAACCTAAAAGGTTGTGCATAATATGAAGGACCAACTTGAATGTAAACATTAAAATATTAAATATACAGAAAACATACTCACCTTGGACATGGGCAATTAACCCATTGTGAAATGGAAAGTAAAGGTGAGACCTCTTTTTCCTTAAAGGAAATAATGCTGGGCAATTGCACAGGTAAGTCCTCATAAGGTACAGGAACGGTGCCACAATTCTGACAATGAATAATTGGAATAGGGGTGCCCCAGTAACGCTGGCGTGAGATCAGCCAATCTTTTAGTTTATTACTTGTTAGGAATCCTCCTATGTTTTTATTTTTGGTTTGCTGAATGATCGCATTTAATGCCTTTTCTCTAGTCATACCTGTAAACTGTTTTACAAAAAACAAAAACAAAAGATGTGCTGCTTTACTCAACAATCACATTTTTGTAACAAACTACTTCAAGTAAATAATCTAATTAAAAATAAAGTACATACTATCATGAATAAGTGTATATTCAATTATTCATGGTAGTGTGAGCACAACTGAATTAATTTTGTATACAGTAACAGATGGAATTTATTTTAATTAATTAAAGGACAGAGGGAAGATTTTTCTATCTCAAAGGAAAGTTAAAAACCAAAGAACTGTCGGCTTCCAATTTTAATATGTACCTTAGTAGTAAACATAGAAATTTTCTGAAGTTCTGTATAGTAAATATGCTTTTTTTTTTTTTACAAAATTTGATACATCTTACCTCATACTGTAGCTCTGGCAACATTTGTTTTGAGTTAACACACTTGTTAAGCTTTTTACCATGGCAATGAAAAATAAATGCCTGTATTTTTAAAAAAAATGTATGCTGCTTAATACTCCATCACTGACAGAACGGCCAACTGTGTTACATTTGTAGGGTCTGGCAGCTGAAGGGAGTTGAGCTTTTCATATTCTGGGTCAAAATAAAATTTACTTTACTAGCACAATTGTGGATCTATCCTGAATCCATCTAAAAACCAGTGCTTATTTAAGGCAGCAGCATGTCATGAACATTAAACAGCTTAGAGCCATTGCTGCAGGTAATTGTGGCTTGTTCAGATAATTCCTGGTTTTTCTCTCCATAGCTTATTTTGATGCTAAATGAAGCATAAAGACATTGCATAATTTGGAAGCTATGTAATCTGAATAATTTAACATAGCCTATACCAGGGGTAGGCAACCTTGGCTCTTTTATGACTCGTGGACTTCAACTCCCAGAATTCCTGAGCCAGCTATGCTGAGGGAAAAGGGAGAGGTTTCCATACTGAGCCATGCTGGCTCAGAAATTCTGGGAGTTGAAGTTCACGAGTCATAAAAGAGGTAAGGTTGCCTGCCCCTGGCCTATACAGATTGCCTTTAAATTATTTTCATTTATTATTGTATTCTGCAAGTTTTAAAAAGTGCCTGATATATTACAGTACAGTACAATATGGAGAGGAATAGTATGCTCAAATTATTTACAGGCAGCATGGAAGAATTGGGAGATAAAGCAGAAACTCACACTAAAATACCAACCTCTCCAGAGTTTATCAGTTTCTCTGAGCCATCTGGAAGTGTTTCAATTACTTCAGCAAAAGCAAGGCCCAATTTTTTAGCAACTTCAGCATCATCTGGACAAATGCAAGGGATTCCTGGAAAGAAAAATTTATCTTAAAACAAATTTTCAACATGATTTCCACTTTTGTGTGAATATACAAAAGTAGCTTTCATATTAAGAGTTTATCTAATGATAGTAATTATATGCTCTGGTGACTACTTCTATTCTCCTGAAATCGTGATTCTCTATTTCTTTAAGCCTTCAGTCTTCAAATTCAAAGTGCCTTCACTTTCTTTAAACTAAGATTTTTGTGTATGCACAAAAGTTACATATAAACATAACTTTACAAGAATCAAATATATATTATATGAAATTATTTGTCTTATTTTTATCTATACTGTACATTCCAAGAATTATTACTTTTATAAATAACTCAAAGTGGCAAATATACCTAATACTCCTTCTTCTTTGTATTTTTTCTACAATAACCCAACTCCCATGAAATGGATTGTGCTTACAAAGAGTGACTGGCCCAAAGCCACCCAGCTGACCTTCATGCCTAAGCCAGGACTAAAACTAATGATCTCCTGATGTCTTCAAAATCTAAATGTGCTAACTATAATGATAACTATGTCAAGTAGATCTTTACTTCTCTTTCAAGTGGTGTAGTCAAAGATAGTTAGTTTTAATATAAATTAAACTGAAATAAAAATAATAGTGATGGTCTATTTTACTAACCTATTTTAAAATCAAGGCAGCCTTCAAACTCTGATTTTGCTGAGATGACTACAGGAATTTCCTGATTGGTGAGTAAATTCATAGCAGTCACTGAGGTAAGAGAGTCTGTAAAATGTAGTTTGTAGGTATTGAAGCATTATTTCACATGGTATATTACTCCATCAATAATATCTAAGGTAGATAAATCATACAATAATGGATATAGGTATTGCAGATGTCAGGAAGTAGAAAAAACTTCTTACCACATGTGGTGGACATGTACAAAAATACCAGAAATACATCCAGTGGACAATGCAGAAAATGTTAAAATTAAAATGAAACAACTTTTTTATTAGGAATATTTCAGAAAAATATTAAGAAATATAATAATTTAATGAGATATATGATCACAGGAGCAAGAATAAATTATGCTCACTGATGGAAAAAGGAAACATTTCTGATAATATCTGATAAGGAATTCTTGGAAACTTGGAAAACAGGTAGCAATGGCAAACTAATAGTAATAATAGAAATTTAACTAAATTTAAGAAGAACCATTCCATATATGTAAAACACATCATGCAGCATGGCAAATTTAATAATTTACAGACTGTCTCAAAGGTTTTTCCTTGAGAAAGAATAAAATGTTCCATTTCTCAATCAAGAAGCTTCATCAGTCATTCAAAAGGAAAAAAACAGTCCAGTTGCCTTTTGAAAAAGCACCTTTGAGACAACTATGATCTAGATCAGTATTTTTCAACCTTTTCACAGATTATACCACTTTTAGGACATGACAATATTTGAGTATCACCAGTGCTTAGCAAGGTGTCAAAAACTTGATGACTAAAAAAGGGGGGGAGGAATTTTGGGTTTTACTGATTAGATTTATTTGTTGTTATAGAAATAATATTATGGAAAAGTAAAATTTGAGGTTCAGTGTTAATGCTTTCTTCTAGTGCAACAGAGGAAGTCTGTTTTTTTCCCTTCTCCCCCTCACTTTCCCCCCTTTTTCCTCCCCACTGTGTCCTACTATTTGCTTTTGTATTTTTGTATTTTATTCTATAATCTAATAAAATATTATAAACTGTAGAAAAAAAAGTAAAAAAGTACCAGTTTTAATTTCTTCGGTGGCTGTTCCTTTGCTGAATCACTTTCCCTTTGCACTGACAAATGTATGATGAATTTAACCATGTTTATTAATATGCACCACTACCAGCTAGCTCAGGGGTCTTCAAACTTGGCACTTTTAAGACTTGTGGACTTCAACTCCCAGAATTCCTCAGCCCTCATGGCTGGTTGAGGAACTCTGGGAGTTGAGATCCACAGGTCTTAAGGTTGCTAAGTTTGTAGACCCCTAAGCTAGCTGGTTTGCCCTTCTGAGCTCTAAGAATGTCTGTTCTTCTATTTTTCCCAATTTCAGATTGAATTTGATTTCCTAATTCTCAATAGTGTTCTAAAGACTAATATGGATCACACACTTTGGCCACCGCAAAGGAACTTGAGTTAATCTCTTACTTGAAAGAATCCATGAGAGAATTAAAATCTTTAACATATCTCTATCAAAACTTCAACAATATTTTTAAAGTGGACATTTCTAAGATAAAGAATTGGAATCTCTGATAAAGTACCACGAATAGATTCATGTTCTTAAAAATATTAAAATAGTACTTATAAATCTGAGATTATGGTTGATTCATCACAAAATGTATTTAGAGTGTATAAGATTCCAAAAAAATGAATCTGAAAGAATAGATACCAATTTTCTATGCTTGAGTATATAAGAAAATTGTTATGATTTGATCTTTTGGTATTTTTTGAGACACCTTTTAAGGTATATACTGTAAACATTTGTATTAAATATTAAAGATGTTAATGTAATGTTGAATTTTATGCAAAAGCTTTCGAATTTAACTGTTTATCAGGAATGGGGGGAAGGAATAAAGAATTACATTTAGAAATTAGAAAACCAGATGCTAAGGAATGATTATCAGGCATGTGTGATCTGTTTCAAAAAGTATTATCTACTAATCAAAGGATGCTGTAATATGTATTTTATGAAAAAGATTTTGTAACATTTTAAATAACATTTTTACTGTTCATATTATTAAAAAAGGTAAAGGAATCCCTTTATAGTCAGCAACGACTACTAAACTTAATGTTTAAAGGACATTGAGCCAGGCCTATCTGAAGACATTTCCGCGATACCTTCCCACTGAAGTGGTATCTATTTATCTACTTACGTTTGCATGCTTTCAAACTGCTAGATTGGAAGGAGCTGGGGCAAGTAATGGGAACTTACCCAGTTGCGTGGTGCTCGGGTCTCAAACCCTGGCTAATAGCTGTTTTTGAACTGCTAGGTTGGCAGGACCCGGGGTGAGGACAGGAGCTTATCCCATTGCAAGGTGGTCAGGTTTCGAACCTGGGCTGTTGGCTTTCCAACTTCTTAACTTTTGAGACAACACATCACCCAGTTAATATTATAGTAATATAGGGACTGTTGATAAGTATAAAATATAAGGTAGGTTTTTCCATCTTCTTTCTTTGTATTTTTACTGGTTTGGTATTGTCTTTCTTTTTATGCATACATTTGTGTATGCAAAAAGTTAAAAAAAGGAAGGTTTAAAGTTACGTTTTGCTATTAACTATGCATAAAGCCACCTTTGAAGATCAAATGTTATTTGTTTGAAGTGAGATCAACATTTTTCAACTTAATTAGATTTTAAAGAATACCAAAGCTGTTTTCCACTTTTTTCCTCTTCAGTTAATTTTTCTTCCTGAATTATTATTCTCTAAGGCTTTATGAACAACATCACAATGGAAATTAATAAGCAAAGAGATCTTCTTAAATTTTTATTATTATTCTAAGAGATTTTTATTCTTTAAACTTTTAAAAGTTTGTTCCTTAAAAATCCATGTATTGTTTACGTATGAGTATTTGTTTATGTTTTAGCTGTTTTGCTTACCAGTGTTTGTTTTTAAAAGGGATCATTTCTCTCTTTTACTCTTGACTAATACAATAAAATGTTATATTCTAATTAATATTTATGTTTTGTTTTAAATATGTTGTGCGCCGCCCTGAGTCCCGTTGGGAGAAGGGCGGCATATAAATTAAATTTATTATTATTATTATTATTATTATTAATAGGAGCAGAAGCAAACATTTCAGGGGGAAATTAGCTATATACAGTATAGTGATCATCTTGATTGATAACCATCATAATTCATGTTATATATTATACTGTTTGCTTTGAATATGTGTTGTGATAATCTTGACAGATAACCATCATAATTCAGATTATATATCTGTATCTATTTTTTTTTTTGCAGGTGTGCCTTCTCATGATGCAATATAGTATGTGTGAACTGACCAATTCTGATTGATCAAATCATGCAATATTAAAATGGACAGTAAATAGGGGAAAAAAATCACCTTTTCCTTGAACAAACTCCCTCTGGAAGATTTCTTTCAGATGGCTATTTCCGTGTAACAATCGATGGTTAGATAAGATATACAAATGGGATGAACCATATATAGCTTCAGGTGCTGAGGCATATGCTGCTACTGTTTCTCCTGTTGATTTATTATTAATCTATCAAACAAGGAGGTAGGATTATCACAGTTTATTCAAAACATCATTTCTTTGCAGGTATATCTGAAACATTGAAGACATACCAGTTGTGTTCTGAGGACCATATTTTGCATCTGAAAATATCATACCCTGGTTTGATTTGAATAAAGTGCTAAACTCTATTTTGTTTATTTTGACAATGGTTTGATCAAATTTCTGGACCTAATCAAGCTGGCCAATTATAGTTTGTAATCATTAGCTAAAATCATAAATGGACTGTGGTTAATTACTTTGTGAAACTTGGCTTGTATTCACCTCTTAGAAATTCAACAGAGAAAAGAAGAGTATCTTGTTCATTCATTTCAATGAATGAAATTACTCACATACCTTGAGAGCTTTTTTCTGGGTATTTCTTCCTTGTCTAAAAAGGCTTTCACCTGTTCATTTTCTTATTAATATGTTTTATTAAGGTGGCCATACACACTTTTATATTTTAAGCCATATCTAATATGGGCTACATATTGAAATTTCCCCTTTGCTCTTAAATGCAACCGTAGCCTTCTCCATCATCAAAATTCATTTACCTTCTGCTGTCAGAAAGTACACCAGTTGGAATTTCAATTACTTTTAATATAAACCAGTTTCAAAGGACTCTACCCATATTTCACAAATAACTTCTAATAGGTTTTAACCATTTGCAATATATACTTCTCAGTGATTTCCAAGGAACAACTTACTTTCAGCATAAACTCAAAATAGCATCCAGTGCAATCTCCAAGCCAATTAGCTTGCATTTCCTTTATTCCATACCATTTGGGGAGATCTGACAAGGCATCAAGCAGGGCCTGCAATAACGGTAAGAAGACATTTTAAATCTTTGACATTAAACATACACAGAACAAATTGTGTATGGCCTCTACATATTTAAAAGAGTACGCAATGAAAAATACACAGCCAGTTGGCATCTGCAATTGGTTCTAAAGATAGTACAGAGATTGTATTCTTCCTTGAATTTTAATAGCTTCTATGGTATATAAAAGACTACTTAGGTTTAGCATTAATTTCAACAGTGTAAAACAGTTCTCAGAGCTTGGAAAAAAGCTATCTGCACATTCCCCCTTTATTAGGAAGATGATGGTCTCTCTACTTTATTAATGGATGGCTAGCAAGAATCCCCATCCTAATGATAAATAGGATCCTACAGTCAACATATCTTCTTTTCAAGACTGTTATAACCTAATCCCTTTTCTCCTTTCAATACATTTGTAATAAAATTCAGAGAATTTTAGCTTTCTTAGTAATAAGCAGCTATCGGGACCTTGAAAATCAAGCTCAAAATTACATATAGTAGGATTATTATAAGCATTAGAATAATGTGCAGTATTTGCTTTATGTTTCCCTCTTGGAGAGTCTTAATTTTATCCATTGTCAAGCTAAAGATGGAATAGCTGAACCCTCATGTCAGACAAGCACAGAACAGAAATATTAATACAACAAGAAAATACAATGCTGAGTTGTGCTATAGATATACAGTTGTAAGAAAGCTGCAGGAATTGTGATCCAAAACAATCCAAATGGCACACTTTACCAGTCTAAAACATCTCAGGAAATTCAATAGCAACATATCAATTAATAATAATAGAACCAAGTTGGTAACTGAGACATCAGCTTTCTTAATTGCAGATTGGGCTCTTTTAAGAGATTTTTGGGGTGGGTCTTATTTTCGGGAAAACACGGTATGTGTATTTTAGTTTACATAAGCCTACTAAGCCCACACAAAATTATTAAATAGAATTCCAGTAAAAAACAGAAGCCAGGCTTCTGTTATAAAGAAAGGTTAAGTTCAGCATATATTAAGAACCTATCAGAAACACTCATATAATATAAAGAAAACAAAGAAAATAACAAGTTATTATTCGGATTCAAAAGCAAGAACAATGGATGCTATAGCAATCAAAATCATCTGAGTAAAGACAGAAAGAACTTTAATAAATACCAGAAGTCTTAAAATCAGAACATTTAAGCTGACAATGTTGAGGCTGAAGATGACATTTATTTAACGCACCCACAATATTTTAAAATGCTATTTCAATAGACTAATGGGACATAAACAATTAGTTTGCAACATGCAGATTTACCTGTACCTTTCTAAATATTGTTCTGCTAAATATTTTATGACTGGTAGCCATGGTGCAAAATTCAAATAGGACATTCATTTTTCAAAAATATATGTAGAATAATATAAAATATATTATTTTAAATTTATATAAAGGTATCAGTAAAGGTTTCCCCTGTCCAGTTGTGTCTGATTCTAAATAGTGGTGCTTATCTCCACTTCTTAGCCAAAGAAGCCAGCGTTGTCTGAAGACACTTCCAGGATGACTATACCAAAGTGCATGGAATGCTGTCACCTTCCCACTATTTATCTACTTGTTTTTGAACTGCTAGGTTGGCAGCAGCTGGGACAAATAATAGGAAGTTGCGTGGTGCTCGGATCTCAAATCCTGGCTGTCAGCTTTCCAGCTGACAATTTCACCATCTTTAATTGTTGAGCCATTGTGCCTCTTCTTAAATTAAATCAATCTATAAATATAATGCTATATTCTATGGTACTTTTTCATTAATATCATAAATAGATTCAAGAGGAAATAATTGTTAGGAAAAAAGCAGTAGGCATATACAATTGGACACAACTCATACAAAATTGGAAATCGACAGAGGTAAATTGTATCAATTAAGACTGTATTTACGTAATACTTCCAAATTTCAATGTTTAATGGATTCCCACCCCCACCCATTCCATCAAGTTTTCACATGTTCCCAACTCAGCCACATAAGGGAGCCTAAAGCTGCAGCAGCAGCAAATAGCCCACAGCAGGCTGATATAGTTTATAGGTCTTTGCCTGCTTCCACCCTGTGTCAGTAATTTTGCTGTCTGGTTTTAGGATACCTTGCGTGGCTTAGTGACTGGGCTGGGATCAGGCCAAAGCAATGGGGGGATGCCTCAGGGAATGGAATAGGCCTTAGGAGGCTCAGGGCAGCTGGACTTTCCTATGTTAGGCCTCCAAAGGCCTCCCACCACCACTGAAGCAGTCCAATATTCTGCTTAACCACCCGCATATTTCTTTAATGCTTCATGAGAGCAGGGGTGGGCTTCATTAAGTGAAGTCATCACCATTTTCAACTGTAATGGGCAGGCTCCATTATAATCATAAGTTGGAACTATTCATACTTGTGAAACTACGCTTTAATACAGCTAGCATTATAGACTTGGCATATCTGGTTGTTGCTATATCTGTATATGCCAAAATATGCACCAATGGGAATTATGAATATCTTTAGAAAAACGAGGGCAAGTAGATGAAGAACCATCAATGGAACTAAATGTGACTCCTAGGGACAAAAATCTGCTTCTTAGTGGAGTTGACAGTCATGCTAAAAGCAGCTAAATAAACAAAAGAGGCAATCAATAACAGGCACAACTGAATCCTTGCAAACAAGCTTGTCTTTATAGTCCTTGCTCTGAATCTCAAATAGCTAAAACAGGCAGCTACTTAAAATAAATCCTTAGTTAAAAAGGACATATCTCTACTTTAAGGATTTGGTCAAATTTCACTTGACTTCTCCTTTACAGTAAAGAATATTTCAACTATTTAGGAAAAAAATGAGATAATGTAAAGTCCACCAAACAGAACTAGTTCATATTTAGCAAAAATTATGCCCAATCAGAGTTTATTGACATACAAACTATGTGTTCACTATGTCCTCCTCCCTGCTTTGTCCTTCCTCCATTAGCACATCTTTCTTTGGCTAAACTTTTCAATAGCTTAATTTGATTTTAAAATTCACAGACAATGTGAATTAAAGAGTTCCAACTAATACTGAGAAAGTCTGGAAACATAATCACAATATCTATCTTGATAGGTAAATAATGATTGTATCCCACCTTCCTTATGTTGGTCTATTACCTAATAAAGATTTGATGCATGGCAATCATTAAATCAGTTTTCTGATTTGGATGTTACAAGAAACTGAGGCTTTAAGAGAAAGAGAGTCTTAATGAACACAGTGAGCAATAAAAGAAGGAAAATGAGAAGCAAGGCAGACATGTACTGTACCTGGGCCAACTGACCATCATTTGTTGGATTAGTTTGTTAAATCTGCACTTAATTACATGAAAATTACATGAAAATTACATGAAAATTATATGAGCAGGAAAAATAAAACCAAAAGACTTCTGAGGGAGCTACATGATCCTTTTTAAAAAGGAGCTTAACTTTTAGATTAAAGAAAACAGACTGAATTCAGCTTCCAGGTAGATAGTAAATTTACAATTTATCTCACAATAAAGGAAGGTAATTTGGTTTAGATGGTTAAGAAGATGCAAGTAAAAAATCCAAAACACCAAGCTTGAATTTAGCCACGTAAAATAAGGTGGTCCTATTTTACAAATTAAAGAAAAATCTAAAATAATTACTTTGAGACTGGAACTAGAGTATAGGATATCTAATGTGGGATATAAAGGATGAAAAATTTCACTGGTATATTTGAAAATAACAATTGTAAATAAACATAAAAGGAAACAACACTAATTTCATAAAGTAAGCATATTAAACAAGCCTATTATACCTTCATGTATTGAAACGGGGACAATTTTAACCAGTTTTTCATTTCTGTCAGGCATTTTGATATTAAAATAGATAATAAAAATAAAACAGCCATTAAACACTAATCCATATATATTTTTGAATGTAAAAAGTGACAGGAGAAGGAAGAACTTTTTTTATTCTTTTTCAAACTATCTATTATAAGGCATAATTCTAGCGCTACAGGAAGAAATCTTGACATGGTTGGAAAGTGGCAGTCAACAGTACCAGTTGCTAAGAGACAGTGAGACAAGGGAATTATAAGCTAGATGTTTCAAGCAAAGTGATGACCTAGATTGAAAACTGATCTGAGATGTTGCAAAGAGAAATAATTATTATCCAGAACATTTCATTTTTTCTCACTCTCATTTCCCCCCTTCAAAAACAATTTATGTAGTGAAATTATCCTCTACTGAACATCAAAAACATGTGACTCATTAAAAATAAGAATTAAAAATAATTCTTCCAATTTATGGAAAACTACTACTAAGCCATAAGTATTGAAAGTATGAATTTTTTACAAAAAAAATAAGCCACCCGATAAATGAGCATTTTTTCTTATCATTTGTAATATAACTTCCCACCTGATTCACCAAATGGAAGCTCTGAATACCAATTCAAAGGAAAGGTCTCTGACAAAAGAGGGAGGGGGAAGATGGTTTTATACCTATAAGATCATTTCAAAATTCATATTGGGGCAAATGTATTTAATAGGCAGTTAAGATCACAAAATAGCAAAAACTTTTCATTAGATAAAATGTTGAATAATATTTTTAAAGGGGGGAAGTAATGGAAAAAAAGTGAGATTATTGTCAAACATGGAGTCTGCATTCAGCTAAAGTTTCTTGGAATGTGTGAATTGTACAGTATATAGTGAGTTGATGTCATGAAAAATAGAAGGTGTTTAGATTTCTATTAAGAAAAAAGAGAAATGGATTTCCCGGCATTTTTCAGAACATATACTTCAACTAGTGTCTCAACTGTATTTCCAATATCAGGCAAAGAATATGTTTAATAGATGAAAACAAAATATAGAGAAACTAGACAGTTATTATACTGTATTATATTATATAATATTATATAATATTATATTATATTATATTATTATATTATATTACAGTATATTATATTATTATTACCTTACATTACATATACCATACCATACCTGAAAATAGTTTTAGAAGCTGTTTTAAATTGTTAAAAAATAATAAACCAAATTATAGGGCTTACCTTGGTGGTTGGGTCCAATAATTGGTATCTCCATTTAGAGATGAACAAGACATAAAGATTTCATCACCACTAGCAAGCACATGCCTGAACTTCATCTAGACTTTCATCTATATTTGAATCTCATAATATTATGCTCATTACTCTGCAGAAGTTGGGGGGGGGGAGGCACATATTTAGCCCATGGCTGTTTTGTGAATAAGCTTGTCTTACATTACTGAATCCATGTAGAAAGCATTGAAGATACATGAAAGAAATCAAATGGGTCTGTCAAATATTAATGATAAGGGACACATTCTTTTATTACAAATGTTTAAAGCACACAGATTAGTTTTCAAAAAAATAAATCTCAGGTTGAAGTTAAGGAAGCCTTCCAATTTGCCATAAAGGAAAAAGAATACCAAATATTCCCTAATTCTCAAAAATAGTTCCAATATCATATCCAACTATTTTTCCTCTATACAGTAGATCTTCAACAAATAATATGATCTCTCTCTCTCTCTCTCTCTCTCTCTCTCTCTCTCTCTCTCTCTCTCTCTCTCTCTCTCTCTCTCTCTCTCTCTCTGTGTGTGTGTGTGTGTGTGTGTGTGTGTGTTTGTCTGTGTGGGGTGTTACTTCATTTAAATACTGGTATGCAAGGAAGGCTGAATCCCAAAAATTGGGCAAAGGCATATTCTCTTAGTGTGGATAAATCAGGATTTAAGACATTCAATTTATCTTTGTCACACAGAAATGTGTTTCATTTGTTACTGAATATAAAGAAACTATCATAAAAGGACAAATTTTATTAGGTTAGCATGACCTATCATTTTAACACATTTGTTCGCAACAAAAGACATTATTAGAGAAGTAAACTGCCCTAAGAACATTACATTAATGCAACTCTATCCATTTTTGTAAGCAGTTATAAAGGCACCACAGGAGAGAGGAGAAAAAATATACAATAATTCTATACAGATGTACTGATACTGATTTCTACTGATACAAAGACCTTCAGGTTTGCTTATGGTTTAGAATTTTTGGGGACTAACTCCCCTCTCTCTCCAAAACCATTTATACTCATACCTTGGCATAAGCAGTTGTCTTAATGAACCACTGTTTAAGATATTTTTTTTCCACCTTTGCTCCTGAACGCCATGAACAGCCATTTTCATCAACTTGTTCATTAGCAAGGACAGTCTGATCCACTGGGTCCCAATTCACCATTGCCTAAGTAATAACCAAAATCAGAGATAAGAAATACTCGCATGAGCAAGCCCATAACTTGGGCAATTTTTCAAGTAGATTGGCACAAATATTTGTACTTCCTGAACCCTTAAGCCAGTGGTGGCGAACCTATGGCACTGGTGCCAGAGGCGGCACTCAGAGCCCTCTCTGTGGGCACGCGCGCCGTCGCCACAGTCCTAGGCCTTCAGCTGGGTTTTATAAAACATTTTTGCTTTAGGCCTCCACCGCCGTGTGCAAAAAAAAAAGGTTCAATCAATCAGTCAATTTCAACTTCTCGCGGGGGAAAAAAAAGATCTTGCAAAGTTGGAATGGATTGATTGAACTTTTTAGTCCCACCCAGTCTGCCGTTACCACCGCAGCCACGCCCATCCAATTGGCCACACCCACCCATTGGGCCACACCTAGCCAATGGGCCACACCTAGCCAATGGGCCACACCCACCCAGCACCCGACGATGCATAAATGGGTTTTGGGTTGCAGTTTGGCCACTTGGTCTCTAAAAGGTTCGCCATCACTGCCTTAAGCACATACCAATTTTCCAAAGCTTTTTTTCCAGAACCAGTTATCTCTTATACTCAAGTTATCTTTTATTCTTCTATGCCAAAATCACATTTTGCTTATTCTCTAATCATTTCCAAGCCAATGCAAGGAATTAATGTTTAATCAAATGTCCAATCGAGATTGGAACAAAATGCCTGAAAGATCATTTACATCAGAACATACCTGCAAAATAAAATGCTAAGCCAGTGAATCCAGTTGTGATTGTACCATGGTTATATCTAAGACATATTTTTATTTTTCTGAATTGGGCCACTATCTTATCCAATAAACCATCGTTAAAACAAACATTTTTGAGTGCAATATGTGAATCTAGCATACATTTTTGAAAAATCTTCTCTGGCTGCAGCTTTTTCTTTCTGAACTGGGACCTCCTCAGATGGACAGAAAAACCTTCTTGACTATGATGTTCCATTTTAGAATGTTATCTTCAAAGAAGTTTGCCTGGCACACAAATTTATTTGTTCTGATGCAAGTATTTTTTTAAAAAAGAAAATCTAGCTCCTGTGATTCTTTAATGTTATGGTTGTGTTATTTTTGCTGATGTGTTATTAATTGTAATGTTTTATTTCTTTGTATCACTTATCATAATGGAGACAAAAACACTGAAATGTAGTGGAAGGGATGTTTAAATACAAAGCAAATCATCATTCTACTTTCCTTTATGGATTTACCGAATGAAGTTTTTATCTTTTGAGCTACATACCTGTCTCACAAGCAATAATTACTCAAATTTGGAAAGGTAATCTAAAATATCAGTTTGAAAGCAATATTAAAACTTACTTCATTCTGATAAACTAAACCAGCTTCATAAAGCTTAATAAAAAGATACTGTGTCCATTTGTAATACTTAGGAGAGCAAGTGATTATTTCCTGTAAACATAAAAAAAAATCTATCAAATCAACATAGTATATGTTAGAAGAAGAAAAATAATCTGATGCAGAACTCATCTGTACTTTATGAAAGGAATTTAGCATTTTCTCCATTAAAACAAATGAGAATTTTTTTTTAGATTAGGAGAAGTCTCAATAGTCAAATTAAGCAAAGAATTAAACTCATTCATTTTGCAGGATAGTGTATGGGAATACTGTTTAATAACCTGTAGATATTTATTTATTATATTTTTATGCCACTCATCTCCTCTATAACGTGACTCTAGGGAAGAATAAGATAGGAATTAAATTCTGTCAAGATTCTGCATAAATTTTAATTAAAACTGCAAAATATGTTTTGTAATCAAAGACATTCTGCCTCCCCCACTTGCTAGAAGTGCTTTGATCCTATCCTGGATTATTTCAATTTTTGTTTCATGATCAAAGTGAGATTGTTTAAGGTCAAACTATTTTCTAAAGTAGATGAACTCTGTTCCAACATATTTTGAGGCTCTTAATATTTCCCCTCCCCCAAATATTTGGTATACCTCTAGTCTTGATACCAAGAGCAAAGATCAAAGCATTATTTTAGCCACAAACAAAAGTAAGCAGCTTTCTAAATCAGGATTGAGTACAAAAGTAATTCCCCAGCAATGTTATTACTTTCTTTTCTTTCATATCCTTATTTATATATATCTCATCCCTCAGGAGAGAATGTTATCACAGTTAATCTTATTATATATATATATAATAAATAAATACAAATAAATACAGACCACCAAGAGAGCATCTATAAAATATAGAATTTAATCTACCTAGCTTTCGTCAACAAAACGTTTGACATCGTCAGGGTTAAAAGGCAAACACCGATTGAAGTCTTATATACCATTGCCGAGTGTCTGTTTCCGGCTCCTGGAGCGCGTAACTGGCCCCAGCTGATCCTGCCGTACTTCGAGCATATTGCTCGCGTCATCGTTCACCCCTCTCCTTCTCCGAGCTTGTGTTTCCTCCCGTACCGCCCCATTCGCTATTGTAATGTTATGCATATTCAGGGGCCAGCTGTTACAGCACTGCCTTCGTGCAGCACCTCCAGTACTCCGTGTGTGATTGTATGCCAGGTCCGAGGGGGGGAGAGGGGGATCCTCCCCTAAGCTCTTACAAGCCTCGTCCCTGCTCCGTTCCTGCCTGCTGTTACCCTCGTGCCACAGCGGGGGTTCTCTCCTTTTACTCCTACCAGCGCCTTCCATATATATTGCTGTGGTTTTTTTTCTTATCAAATTCAATTCTGCCAGCTTCTAGGTGTGGATAGTCACACAGTAAAATTAATATAAAAGAAATCATAGAGAAAGGAGTAGCTTCACATTGTTTTAAAAACATGAATCTGCACATTTTAGCTAGTTTATAGGCAAGTTACATTCTAAAATATATCAATTTCATTTTAAAAATAAAATATTCATTCATTCATTCATTCATTTAAACCAGTACATTTATTTATGTACTGGTTTGGACAAAACTCAGCAGCACTTTTTCGTGTGGCTGCTGATAAAAACAGGATCGCCAATATAATTGCCAATGTCCGATAATGGATATGGCACAACAAGAAGAAGAAGAATTTATTTATTTATTTAAAAAACCTTACCCGATCCCAGCTGAAAGATAAGCCTAATACATCAAGCTGCTCTCGCATATGTTGAATATTACTGTAAAGCAAAACAAAATCTCTGTGAAAAATTATCAGTTCTCCAATATGAACCATGATGGTTAGAACAGAAAGTTTCTCCAATCTGCACAATAGTTTTAACTATCATTTATTTTGCCACAATATTTTTGAAAGACTATTACTTTGCTAGACAATACTGTGACCTTCTCCATTCAATTTAAGAGACAACAGATAGCAACACACACTAAATCAGATAAATTTATGCGGTCCCAGATTTTTGAGACAAACCAATTTATACACAAACTTAACATTGTTAAGAGAGAGGGTTAAATTAATGTAGCAAGGATTAAGTACTGCAAATTCTCACTTTATTGCTGTATGAGCTTTCATGAGCTATAACTCCCTTCATCAGATTCATGAAATAACTAAACTGATGCACAGAATCATAGGATTGGAATGGACCTTGGATATCTTCTAGTACAGCCCCTTGTCCAAGGTAGGAGTTCTCATCTCAGACAAATGGTTGTTCAATATTTTTTTGAAAATCTCCAGTGATGAAGCACAACAATTTTTAGAGGCAAGCTGCTCCACTGCTTAATAGTTCCTCCTTAGTTCCAGATTGGATTTCCCTCTGATGAGCCTGCCTTCAGCTACTATGGAGAATAAATTGACACTCTCTTGCCTGTGGCAGCCCTTCAAGTATTGGAAGACTATTATCATATCTCCCTTTATTCTTCATTTGGTAAAGTTTCTGCATAAGCAGTCTTGCAGAATGCCTTTACTCTACAGTTAGTGGCCAAAATTGTGGAAACCTTTTGGGGAAAGTGTATTTTTGAGGTTTGATGGCTAATAACACCACTTTTTTGGAGCAGTACCATAAAATTATATATCAATGGAAAGATAATTTAATCAAGAATGTAATGCAACAAAGTTTGTTCAATTATCTGTACTGTATTCTATGAAATGTTATAGCCAAATAAGGAAAAAGGAAGCACAACTTGCTTAGGTTGATATCAGATAGCTTTCCTTCATCTGACTGTAGCCAATGACCATGAGTGTTTAGACAGCCAATCAGGTGTCATCTTGTTTTGCCAATGAGCCAATCAGATCACAGTAGGATTTAGGTATTGATGTCATGTATTGAAGCTGAGAGGAGGACATTTGTCAGTGTGTTATGTGATTGCTATCAAGTTGGGTGGGTTTTTTGTGTTCTTTCATTTAGTGAGCTTGTAAAACATAATAAAATTAAAGTAATGGTGCAAAGAGTTGACTGGTTGCCCAGAAAGCGATGTAAAATAGTATTATTAAGTGAACAAGGCTACAGTTATAAAGAAATTAGAAGAAAAATTGGTGGAAACTTAACCAAGGGTGGCATTTCTACTGTACACTTTTCCCAAAAGATTTCCACAATTTTGGCCACTACTGTACTTTCTTTGCAGCTCCTTGAGCTCTTGTGTTGGAAGAGAGCTATACTATAGTTCTGTGCCTTCTTCGAAAAACAACAGTAGCTGTGTCTGTTGATTGCTGCCAGCCTCACTTCCTCTGCCTGCTCAGACAGCAATCCATCCAGTTGGATTTGACTGCTCCAGCCAACTGACTCCACATCTAAGCCCACAGTGAGACTCAGTCAGCCCACTGCTGATTCATACTTAAGTGGCCTACCAGAACACTTAGATCCCTTTCATAGGCATTATTGTTGAGTCACTGACTATCCTGTATCTGGATCTTGTATCTGAAATCTGTTTTTTCCTGCTTAAGTGAAGGGGCCTTACTCTTCTTGCCTCTGAACATCTTGTTGAATAGGACCCAGTGCTCAAGTCTGTCAAGAGCTTTCTGAATCTTGAGTCTGTTTTCTGAAGTGTCAGAAATCCACCCCCCCCCCCAGCTTTGTGTCATCTGCAATTTGATTCAATCTCTTCATATAGGTTGTTTATTTAAATGTTGAAGAGCACTAGGCTCAAGACAGAATCTTCTGGAACTCCACTGCATATTGATCTAGGATTTAAATTGAAATGAGGTGATGGAAAGGAAGGAAAAATAGGTTGGTTATGCAGATAAAATTTCAGTCTCTGGTTGTTACCCACCCAATAAAATCAAATTATCTGTCCAAGAGGACCAGTAAATAAATAAACAGAAACAGATCAATTCCCAGGTTTTAATAAGCTTTTCTGATAGCATGAAATGTAAAAAGGGCAACAAATAAACATAATAATAACAATAATTAAAAATCAGATTATAAACACAGAACAACAAAGCACTACTGGTTGTCACCTACAGTAGCTCACAATTCAAACCACTCAAATTTATTATGCAGCCCATAATGGATAATTACATTGCACTTTCTCAGAAACTGCCCATATCACATATATACTATTGATCAATCTGAAACAAATTATCACAAATGACAAGAATATAACAATGATGCTAAGATGGGAACCAGACTCTGCAACAAACCCAGATGTCTACTTTGTCACCAAATCTACACCAATAGCATCATCACAGGCCTTAATAAATACACAAAAGATTAGAGGCAGCTTTGCATGCTTCTATTAACATAATCTGACAACAATGTCCTTCTGGATTCTACATAGGGCAAGCTTGGTACAAAAGTTTGATATCAGGAGTCAAAATGAGAACAAGGTAATATCAGAGCATTTCAACCCCCCAGGATTCTATTGCAGACCTTATTAGTAATCTGTCATACAGATCTGTAACAAATCTATATAACATGTCTCTCCTCTCTGCCCCACACCCATTTCATCTCAATTAAAATTCTACATTCAGTCAAGCAACTCTACGCATCTGATGAAGTGAGTTGTAGCTCATGAAATCATATCCTTTTAACTAAAATTTACTGAACTTTGTTAATCAGAAAGGGCACCACCAGACTTCTATTTTTTGGCTACCCTTTATCAACATAGCTTTCCTCTTACTATGACAACTTCTGTACTGTTATATTTGACAAGGAGCTGGGAAAACAAAAACCTTTGGGTCCACTCTGCAGGATGGAATCCATGCTCAATTGCTGCATTCTCTGCTGGTAATCCAAATGCATCCCATCCCATTGGATTTATCACCTGTGGAAAACCAAGAAATGTTATTTTTCCCATTTTCCAGAGTTTCAGGGCTCAAAATAATGAAACGTTTCCAAATTCAGCATTTTCAGTTTGTTACAAAATCATACAAGCTATGCTTGTCACATACAATTTAAGTATAATGCATAGGATATTTTTTGTGTTACTTGAAAACAATCAAACTAGTGAATATGCTATACCAGTGATGGCAAACCTTTTGGAGACCGAGTGCCCAAACTGCAACCCAAACCCCATTTATTTATCATCGGGTGCCGAGTGGGCGTGGCCCAGTGGATGGGCGTGACCACTGGGTGGGCATGGCTGCAGTGGTCATGGCAGACTGGGTGGGCGTGACCGAGATGGGCATGGCCACCTCGATGTTGCTTATGGGGAGGGACACCTGTGGGGGCCGGGCAGGGCTGGGGGAGATCCAGAGGGTCTCTGGCGGGTGGGACGGTGGGCAGGAGGCTCGTCCTGCAGGATGAGGTAAGACCAGGCAGGGGGCAAGGCAGGGGTGCCATTGCCACAGGGCAAGGCAAGGCAAGGCAGGGACCAGGGTGGCTGCTGCCTGATACCATCGGCCCCTGCACATAGTGAGCACATGGGGGCCAACTGTGTCTGTCAGCAGCCACAGCCTACTGCCCCCTCGACCGGTGCACTCTGAGGCTCCGCAGTCCGCTGCGAATAGCAGGCCAGCCTTCCAGCTTTAGGCGGAGTAGGGGAGGGGGATACAGTATATCGGTTTCTTACTGCTGCCTGGCTTGTTCCGCGGCCTCATGGCAACATTGTGCAGAACACGGCAAACAGCTGGTTTCGGTGTGGCACGGCTGTTTGCCACCTCGCGTATTGCGCCCAATGCCGCTGCAATGCGGCTCGGCTGAAAGAGGCCATGGAACAAGTTGAGCAGGTTCCCCCCTCACCTGCCCATTCAGCTATAGCTTTGTTGGCGCTATAGGCAGTGTTGCAAAGTTCTCTTGTCTGTCAGATCTTGTGAGAAGTTAGAAAGTCTGATGAAACTTTTTTTTTAACCGATAGTCCCACAAACACGTGGCGAAGGCTGAGAAGCAAATAGAGAAACGGAATGCAGCTGAAAGGCAGGCTAGTAAAAAAAATACTTGGGGGAGGTGAGGGTATCTGGGTGGGGGTGGGCCCGGCAACCTTACCCTGCGCAGCTTCGGCAGGTGTCTGGCAGGGGAGGGAAGCAACTGGTCTACCACCATGCTAGCGCCGCCGCATTGCTTCTCTACTCCGTGCACAGGCCCCGCCCCACCCCTCGCATGGAGCGCCCTGCTCCCGCTGCTCCCCCACCCCCCATGCGGCACCTTCTTTCCAGTTCTGACGCGTCACTTCCTCTGCCGCTGTGTGGGACTAAAAATAAAGTTCAATCAATCAATTCCAACTTTGTGAGATCTTTTTTTTTCCCTGTGAGTTGAAATTGATTTATTGAACTTTTTTTTTTTTTTTTTGCACACGGCGGCGGAGGCCTAAAGCGAAAAGGTTGTATAAAACCCAGCTTAAAAAGCCACTTGCCCGGAGAGATTTTGATGCAGGTTGCTCACGGACGGGACTTAAGGCCTTGGACTGGGGTGACAGTGCGTGTGCCCACAGAGAGGGCTTTGTGTGACACCTATGGCACGCGTGCCATAGGTTCGCCACCATGGAGCTATACTATGTACTTGTACATGTTAGTGTACATCCAGTCATTTTGATAATGTACTATTATGTTTACTATATATATTCTTATAACAAAACAAATAATCCCTCCCTTCCTCCCTTCCTTTAATTTCCATCAGTACATATCTGCAAGGTTTTTTTTGTTTAGGTTAAATAGAGTGATCAGGAATTAACTCTGCCTTATTGTTCTGGCTTCTAAAGATAGAATATGCCAAGGATCCACTTTATGCATAATCCTAAAGTAAGTTTCAAGGGCCTTTTTATTTGTTTAAGTAATCCTCTGGAAAGAGATGCCAAGGGAAGCAACTGGAAAGCCCTTAAGGACACCTTTGCTTTGGTCTTGATAAGCCAGGTACTAAAGTACTGTGGCTCATTCTAAATTCCAAATCAGACTATTGTTAAGACATGATTTTCTGCATGTATGAAAGAAAAACAGTTGAAAGAGATAAGACTAATTAATAGTAACCATGTTTTTACCACTCAGTAGGTAGGTAGATTTCCAAATTATCAGTGATTTAGGTATCAGATATTATTATCAAATGGATGAGATCTTACTTTCTATTTCCAGAAGAAAAACTGAAATTTCTTATTCTTCCTATCAGTGGCAAGGTGACTATGCCATTTGTAAATGCAATATAAATGAAGAGCACATATATCTAGCTATTTTGATGGTGTGGTATTATGCTTGTTATATGACAAAGCAAATGTACACTAGAATAGGGATGCAACAGTTACTTATCTGGGAAAATAAATGTATTGCCAACAAAAAAGACAAGTGGAATTCTGTGAAATGGTATGTTATGCAAAATAAAATATCAAATGTGTACTCTTTGTAGTAACAACAAAATACAAAGAACAGAGAAAAGGGTTATAGAATCTCCTGCTTTTGATGTATATTCAACACAACATCATTTATTTATTCAGTGTATTTATTTCCATCTCCGTTCTTCCTTCCTGTTTCTCTCCCTCCTTCCCTGCCTCTTTCTCATTCCCATCTCCTTCCTTCATTTCTCTCTCCCTCCTTCCCTCTTTCTCATTCCCATCTTCCTTCCCTCCCTCCCTCATTCGCATCTCCTTCCTTCTCTTCTCCCTTTCTCCTCACTGCTTCTCTCACAAAAAGCCTTTTCTCTTTCTCAGACACACATCTCTCCAAAAGCCTTCCCATTCTCACGCACACGGCTCTGCAAAATTCTTCTCTCTCTCTCTCCCCTTCTATGACAAAAGCCTTTTCTCTTCTGACTCTTTCTCCGACATCTTTTTTCTCTCTCTCTCTCCTGCAAAACTGCCTCCTTTTATATTCCACTGCACCACTTTGGCTCGTTCCCTCAACTGCTACACTTGGCTAGGCTAGGCAGGATCGCATACCACCTGTCAAGTGCCAATGTATTACCGGTGATATGCATACCGCAGGCTGAAAAGCTCTGTTCTAAGGTATCTTGGATGTTGACATCTCTATTGCACAGTGTTTCAGTAAGGCATTTGATAAAGTAGATCACAACCTACTACTTGATAAGATAGAAAAATGTGGGTTAGACAGCATCACCACCAGATGGATTCGTAGCTGGCTGACTGGCCGTACTCAGCATGTGGTCCTCAATGGAACCGCATCTACATGGAGGGAAGTGTGTAGTGGGGTGCCCCAGGGCTCTGTTCTGGGCCCAGTGCTCTTCAACATCTTCATCAATGATTTCGATGAGGGGATAGATGGGGATCTCATCAAATTTGCAGATGACACCAAACTGGCAGGAATAGCCATCACTCCAGAAGATAGGCTTAAAATACAGAAGGATCTTGACAGACTTAAACATTGGGCGCTATCTAACAAAATGAATTTCAATGGTGGAAAAAAGTAAGATTTTACATTTAGGCAAGAAAAACCAAATGCACAGGTATAGTATAAGTGGTACCTTGCTCAATAGTAGTAACTGTGAGGGATCTTGGAGTCCTAGAGGACAATCACTTAGATATGAGCCAGCAGTGTGCTGCAGCTGCCAAAAAAGCCAACACAGTGCTAGGCTGCATCAACAGAGGGATAGAAGCAAGATCACGTGAAGTGTTAATACCACTTTACAATGCCTTGGTAAGGCCACACTTGGAATACTGCATCCAGTTTTGGTCACCACAATGTAAAAAAAATGTTGAGATTCTAGAAAGAGTACAGAGAAGAGCAACAAAGATGATCAGGGGACTGGAGGCTAAAACATATAAGGAACGGAATTGGGTATGTCTAGTTTAATGAAGAGAAGGACGAGGGGGGACATGATAGCAGTGTTCCAATATCTCAGGGGCTGCTACAAAGAAGAGGGAGTCAAGCTATTCTCCAAAACACCTAAAGGCAAGACAAAAAGCAATGGATGGAAACTAACCAAAGAGAGAAGCAATCTAGAACTAAGAAGAAATTTCCTGACAGAACAATTAATCAGTGGAACAACTACCTCTAGAACTGTGAATGCTTCAAAAGTGTAAGTTTTTAAGAAGAGACTGGCAGCCATTTGTCTGAAATGGTATAGGGTTTCCTGCCTGAGCAGGGGGTTGGACTAGATGACCTCCAAGGTTACTTCCAATTTTTTTTTTTTATTATTATTATTATTATTTGCTTTCCATCTTAGTTTGATCTCTATTTAATCATTTACTAATTGTCCATTGGTACCCTTTAACATACCAATTTGAAGTTGGAATTTCCTTCTAAGTTTGGGCTCCTGTAAATATATGAATGTCATATTTTGTTGCTCAAATGTTGTGTTTATTGTTTGCTTTTGTAATGTGACAATTTAACCTTGCTAGCCATCCAGAGTCACTTTGAAAGTGGGTTTATATACACTGAATAAATAAGTAAGTGAAAACTGCACTTTCAGCATTTCAGGATAAATCTACCTGCTTCTACTCTAAGAAAGGAACTGTATTAGAATTGTGGGCTTCCACTGAAACTCATAATTCTCTTTCAATGTCTTTAAATTGTAATTATGCTCTTAAATAATCTTTCCCCGCACTTTGATATTATTATCATGCATTTCCTTGATTGTCTTCAATTATTGACTATGTCTAGCAGGGTTAAGGAAACTTATATTGAATTTTCTTGCTAAGGCACAGTATGGTTTGTTTGTTATTGGTTTAGCATGATTTGTGAATTCAGTTGTTGTTTATAAATTATATTTGTGGCAACTGTTCCCAATTGTGGACCACAAGGATTCTGCAAGGAAAGTTGAATTTGTTTGAGATTTTGGCAATTATTTTAAGTGTTTCTGGCCATTGACTTGGAAGCCCATTATTTAATTTCAATTTTAATCCAGCTATTAAAATAAATTATTTCTTAATGACTATGTAATTAT